TTTTCTAACATAATAATTATATACATAAACATAATTAATTGTTATCATTCTAATATTATTTATTATACTTCTCATTATAGGAAAGAATTTACAACACATATATATGCAATATTTTAATTTTTATTGGTAAGAAAATATTTTAAAAACATTATATGGCCATTTCCAAACACAACGGTTTTTAGAAGTATTCTTCTAAACACAACTTATTTTTAACGCATGCGATTTTGCGTTTTGATATTTTTTTAACGATTAAATGGCGTCTCATACGACTGATGTGAACAAGTTGTTTTTTTAATATTAGGTTATGAAATAATTTTAAACGAAGTGAAATATAATTATTCAAATAAAGTATGAGATAAATTTTGTATTTTATATGCTAAAATGTAAAATAGTTCGATATTACATAACACCTTTTTATCTAAAAATTTTAATCAAAAGATTTTTTAAATTAATTATGCATCATTATTTGATCTAAATTATAATAATTTTTATTTCTGTTATTAATAAGGTCATGATAATAGAATATAAAATTATTAAATAACTATCCATAATCATTATTATAGAAATGAATATTGAGCAGATCAGATATTACAGATATCCCAGAATAGCTTAGAACAATTATAAACCTTAGCTAATATGGCAGATATGTTTTTAATTAAATATTATTGGCATATTTTAAACAATTACATATTTACAAATAAGAACCTTGCAACTTATTTATTACGCAGTATAATATAATTTCAATTCTTTACAAGTTACAGCAGCATCAATACGATAGATTTTCTATCTCTATTTCTTATTTTTTCTTAAATGCATCTCTTAATTCAATATTGTAAAACATGTATCATATATTTAAAATATTAATTACCTACATTTTTTTTTGTCATCATAATAAAAATATATAAATTTCTCTGGTGAATATGATTTTAATTAACTATTTAAGAATTAAGTCTTATTTTTCTCTTAGATAACTTATCTCTAAATATTCAGTTTGCTTATGCTTGTATACACTATATGAAAATAATTTGGTTCTGTGAGTACTATTTTTTAAATTTTTTATCTAGTATAATATATGATTATTTTTTGTCAAATATTCGACAAATTTTATCTTTTGACATTGACAGTAGACAGCTCATTTTCACCTTTAGTATATCAATCATCTGAAACAATTTCCATATCATCTAATAATATTTTTATATGCGTGGAATTTTTGTATGTCATAAATATCAAAAATATAGTTAATAAACTTTTTAATGTAAAAATATAATAATGGCCTAAATTATTTTTTCGACTTTACAAAAGTTAAGTTCGGAAAATTATATAAATAGATTAAAATTTATAAAGTTGTGAAATTTTTACAAAAAAAAGCAAAAAAAATTTATATTTTTCAAATTATAATAAGAAATGGGCAGTTATATTAATCAAAGTGAAAGTATTTAAATTAATGGGAAGTATAAAAATAATTTGGTAGGAATTATAAATTGCAATTTTAAATGGAAGATTTTGGACATGAAGTTTTGATATTTTTTAAAATACATTTAGGAGATAGCTATAAAAGATATACAAAAAAATGCTAACGCAACATTGGCAAAAAGAAAATACGAAAACTGGAATCGGGGGGGGGGGGGATAGTTCATCAATATCAACCTTAATTCTCTAATGAGTATCTGGGCTATGACTTTTTACAATTTTTACATGTACCAATATTTTAAATATGAAACTTTTAAAATTTATCGGAGCCATTTTTTTAGTCCAAGTTTCAAACTAAGGACTCCTATATGATGTTATCGCTAACATTAATGTATTTGCGACACGATATCGCGTTGTTTTGGCGGTTACTATTACTCAGTGGATGAACATTTGGATTTTTATAATTTAATTTATATTATGTGGTCATAACTAGTAGTAAAACGGCTCTTGAGCCGATTTTAAAAAAGGGCTAACTCAATATTTTACCCAGAAAAATGTAAAAGATTTTGCACATAGATGGTATAAAGGTTTGAATATCTATTAACGATGTCTAGAGACTTAAAGCAATATTTTTCTGGCTAAAATATTGAGTTAGATGTTTTCTAAGAATCGGCTCAAATCGAGCCGTTTTAACAACACTAATCATAACAACGAATGGATTAATAGTATTTATTACCGATATTAAGCAAAAAGAATTGCAACTTAAAAAAAATTGAAAGTTCTAAAAAAAGATTTGTCAGAGGTTAATGAACCTTTTTTATTTTTATATTGGGTCAGAAAATATAATGAATTTTGGCTACTCTCCCAAATTTGTCTTTAAAGATAAGATGAATTTTGCTTGAAATAAATAGAATGCACATATATTGTCCTTTAAACTATCTGATAAAACAACAAAATTTACTTGTTAGCTCTCAAAGGTGAATAGTAGCCTGATTATTGGTCCATAGAAATTTTTATGCATGGTCCTGCACCACAAATACATAATATTAAGGGTTAGTAATAACTAAGAATTCGCCAGCATATAAATTCGATAAAGAGTTTTGAATAAACGATTGTTGTGATTTGTGAAGCTATAAGAATGAGGAATAAAATTATTTTATCTTTCTAAATAATCTACAAATTAGTTAACAGATTTTGTCAGCGTTTCAAAAAATATATAATCTATTGAATTAGCATCAAATAATAAAATAAGTATTTATACCAAAATGAAATATTCAAAATTATTTTGCCAAGTAATTTCAAGAGAAATTTGACCAAAATATTAAATAAACTATTATAACCAACCCCCCATCTCTAAAATATTTTTTTTAAATAAGCGCCTTTATTTGGACATAATTTAAATAAAAATTATTACGTAAGTATTCATTAAATTTAAAATAATATTTATGTTAATTTGATCAATTTTAGCCATATAAAGTGTCATCACTCCTAGACCCACGTTTATCTTAGTCTAGGATTTTGTAGAAATATAAAGCAATCTGGTATAAATCTACAGGAAAAAAAATACTTTTTTTTTCTATGGCCATTTTCGTTTTTGGATATCAATCGGGGTTTTATAAAATTTTATGTCATCTTAAAGATCCATTATTAAGCTATAATAAAATTTAAATTATTGTTCTAACATTCTTGATATATTTGAAAGTTAATGAAGTGTATATTATCAAAAAACAATTTTTTCGCTCTTTATTACTTTAGCGAGAAGTTAGTAAAATCTCATACCAATATACAAAATTTAAAAAAAAAATTGGAAGGGGTCGGGTTGAAAATTGTCCATTTTTGATTGGTTTGATATGGATTGCACTATGTATATAGTTTGACAAATAAATTGACAATTTTGATGAATCTCAATAAATTTTTGTATATATATGTTTGATAATAATTTAAATGAAAATATTAACCTTAAAAATTATCTGTAATATTTTGTAACGGTTAGCTACCGAACACTTTATGAATTGAGGACCACTATATGTTATACGTGTATTATGTTATGTGTATGAACTATTTATATATTTATTGGATAATAAATAAATAAATATTACTATTAATACTATGTACTACTATCTATTATAAAGTTAACGACTAAGATTTATTAATTTATTCGACAAATTTAGAGATTTTATAAATAAAATAAAATTTAAATAAACTATTTTTTTAAAAAATTATAAAATTAAATATTTGTTCGCAAGAGGGCGTTCTAAATTTTTGTATTTGTATTTGGGAAATTAAAAAAATAATAATAAAGAGTAATTATTTTTAGAATACTATGAAATCCGGTAATTTTGTTATCAGAAAATTTGTATACTATATAATAACTTGTAATATATAATCTCCGTAATCTAGTGATCGTTTTCACATCTTTTAATGTTAATTTAATTTTATCTATCAACTTTCATATCATCTTAATGTTATTAAATTGGAGACGACTATATAACCGAATGATAAATTTTCGATATATCCGCCAGCCCGACCTTGCCCTATCGAATCGATTTCAGAATGGATTTTAGATAGAAATTTGACTTTAGAGAAGATAAAATATTTTTTTGCCAACGACTAATTACTTTTTAAAAGTATTTAGGATTGTAACTTGTAACTTGTAACTGCTTACTTTTCTAACCTAATATCGGGGTCTAAAAATGATGAATTTTAGTTTTAGTTGGGTAATTATTAATGAATATTGGATCGGCCTGGTTATTCGTACTTTTAAGAATATCAGCTGCCGGCCGATATCTTTAAAAAGCTGATTAAATAAATATTTATGGTGAAATATATTCATTCATGGATTTAAATTTATTATATTGATATATTTTTCTTTATTCTATTCCTTATAAAAAATTATTTTAAAAAACCTTTTGAGATACGGCTCTCTCCACTTGTCTTGTTAATTTTCATTCGCTTGGATCTTTTCCTCATTAAAATGGGATCGGCTTCAAAAAATGGTGTTGAGTTGATACACTTCTAATATTTTTAATAACACACGTTTCGGTAAAAGATCAAGCAGTCAATGTCAATCATAAAAGCTATAAATATTTACCCAAATTTTTCAATTATGATTGTGACTTCGAGTGCCATAAATTATAGGCCTTAAAAATTAATTTTATATCTATTAGATTTAAACACGGATTTCAAATAATTCGAATATTTTGATAATTTTTAGTATCATGGTACCCATTTTGAAATGCATTATTCTGCTTTTTCAACACTCAATTTTAGATGATCTATAATTGCAACTTAGTATAAGCAGCTCAAAATATCCTAATTTCTGGAAATAATATATTTGTAAAAATCGACTTTTGGCTTGTAATAACCTATTAACATTATTCGCCCAAACGCTAAGAATAGAGGCCGCAGCGGGCCTGTCCCTATAAATTTTTGATCGGGGTTTCTGCCCGGTCCGGCCCGTGAAAGAATCATGCACAAGTTGTATGGCCCGGACCGGATATTTTTTTTTGACATGCAGTTCAGGTCCTGCCGACTTTCATTGAAAAAAAACAATATATTTTTTTAAAATTATGCATACAAATAAAATATAGGATACTTCGAATATCGATTTTAACTGCCATTTTCGAGTTGACAATTACGGCTTTTTCATTATTTGGAAATGCGACGGGAAGGTATATAAGTATTTATATATATATTTATTTTTTTGTTAAATAGCGGTTCCGTTTTGCTAAAAAAAATTTTTTTACAAATTGTTTCCCAGTTCTTACATTTTATCCGGTTTTGAGTGTTCCGGTTTCTAATTTTTTTAAACATTGAATAAACCCGGTCCCTAGTCGATTTAAAAAAAGGATTTTCCTGAAGGAATTTTAAAAAGGGTGTCATGTTAACCGGTTTTGAATTTCGGTTCCCAAAACTCTGGTTTTTATAATATATAATTTGGCAATATATTTTTTTAGAATAATATTTATGATCTGCATAATTAAATTTTTAACAAAAAAAAGGATGGCCAAGTTTTAGATATTTCTCAAGTCAGCGACGTTCGGAAAGGATCTCCACCGAAAGTTAGTCGATAAAAAAAAATGGAAATTATTATATAGAAAGAAAGAGATCTTAATTATACAATTTTTTTTTACAACGTAATCATTGCTAACCTAATGTCGATGTTATATATATAAGGATATAGTAAATGCATGGCTAACTAATCTTTGACCCAGGTTTTTAGCAAATTTTTTTAAATTTATTGAAAGATCTGATCTTGTCGAAAATCGTTCAAGAAAGTTTAAATCACCTATCATGTTTTTAGACAATCTCACTATTTTTTTTAATAATTATTAAGAGTGGTTTTAAAAGGTTCCCGTCAAATTGGTACGATTCCGACAAAGTCAGGTCTTTAAAAAACATTAAGCGTTTATATATGATTTAGGTTTTTTTAAAAATAAATTCTAAAAACACCAAATTCGCTAAAAAAAACCCTCTGACCACATTATACATTCATATTCAACAACGCGAATCATTATTTTTGTATTTAGATCAAAATCTATTCGAAATTAATTCCCCTTTACGTTTATACGCATAACATATAGAATAGAGTAGCTTTTTTTAATCTAATAAATATTATTACTTTCTTCTTTCTTTTATTTTTGCGCTGAAAATAATTAGCCTTTTAACACATTATTTATTAATAAAGCCAATTTAAAAAAAAAAAAACTAAAATATATATACATAAGTATAAAAGTAAAAGAAATATTAAATAAAAAATATACAAAATGCTTTTATTGAAATTAAAATTGCCGTCACCCGGACGTAGGTACTACTATTATAAAAAAATAAAATAACGTAATTTAGACATCATTCATGGTTTATATTATGGTTATTTTTAAATTATATGCTATATAATACTGATAATGGTTTTTTTTTCTATGATCTTTATTTTAACTGAATTATATAACAATGTCCTCATACGATAAGTTCCTATTCTATATTATCCCGCCTCCTCTAATTTTAAAATGATTCCCCATGATGAACTCTATCTTCTAAGTTTTCCTATCGGGTTTTCATCTTTTTTTAATTATTTTTTGGCAACTTGATTCAATTTCTATTTAATTCCCTGACAATCATCCACATCTTCCCTTTAATCAGGACTTTAATTGATCCTTCGCCGCTTTGCCCGCTTACCAAGTAGACCTTGGATTTTTGTCCCGCAACTTAATTGACAATTGCATCTTATCGGATTTATTTTAATGATTCTATTTCCTCGCTTATCAAAGTTAAGTTATAATCAACTTATCAATTCGGTCAAACAAACTTGGCTAACTTTCGTTCTTCAAGGTTCTAAACAACACCCCGTTTTCAGCCATTGAGCTTCTTTATCTCCATGTTTCAATGTGCATTTGAAAAAAATTCTGTCTCCCGAGCTAACTAAACTTTAACTACTTAGAATCCCCCCCCCCAACAAATGGCCACGAATAGCTAGACGTAATTTCGAGTAGGAAAAGGGAGATGCTATTCGCTAACTACACTGAATTGCCATTGGCTATAGACTAACTTGTCTTATATTTCTTCTTTTCACATAATATTTTCTTTAAATATACATATATTTAAATAATTAATATAAAAAAAATTATGATTATTTTTTTTAAAAAATTTATAATACTATTTATTATTTTATTAATTTCAATAAAAATTCAAGGATTTTAAGATTTACGCCGAAATCGATTCTAGAGGTAAAGGTCTATTGGAAGATCGACTTTTAACTATAGTCAGCGGGTTAGATCTAGTCAATGTTAGCTTCCTCCAAATAGCGGCCCAAGATCCGAAAATTGCTAAAGTTACTTTAAAAACCTGTTTTATTACTTTTTTGATTTTAAGAAAAAAATTTAATCATAAGGACAGTTTGAATCTTCAGATTCTATCATTTAGTTTGGGTCAGAGTTTGAAAAAAAATTTTTAATAATTTTTGAGCAAATCTTTTTGAAGAACAGAGATTTTTCATCTAAAATTCCAAAATTATTTATAAGTAAATCTTTAATAATTTTCTTGCATAAAAGATCCTAAACAATTTTGTTCAAACTCTGGTTTAGGGCCATGCTAAAAATATTTTTTTAAACAATTTCTCGTTCCCCAAACGAATTGTATAATTTTTTTTAATTTAATAATATATTTATAATCAAGGAATGGCTTGAGGGAATAGCTAAGATCAATCACAATCTCAAACAGAGCCACCTCTGCCCAATGACTTGTCTCAAAAAACAGTTTTTTATTATACAAATTTCCTTTCTTTTCTTTTCTTCTTTTCCTTTCTTTCTTTCTTTCTTTCTTTCTTTCTTTCTTTCTTTCTTTCTTTCTTTCTTTCTTTCTTTCTTTCTTTCTTTCTTTCTTTCTTTCTTTCTTTCTTTCTTTCTTTCTTTCTTTCTTTCTTTCTTTCTTTCTTTCTTTCTTTCTTTCTTTCTTTCTTTCTTTCTTTCTTTCTTTCTTTCTTTCTTTCTTTCTTTCTTTCTTTCTTTCTTTCTTTCTTTCTTTCTTTCTTTCTTTCTTTCTTTCTTTCTTTCTTTCTTTCTTTCTTTCTTTCTTTCTTTCTTTCTTTCTTTCTTTCTTTCTTTCTTTCTTTCTTTCTTTCTTTCTTTCTTTCTTTCTTTCTTTCTTTCTTTCTTTCTTTCTTTCTTTCTTTCTTTCTTTCTTTCTTTCTTTCTTTCTTTCTTTCTTTCTTTATTTCTTATTTATTTAATTATTTGTTTTTTCATTGATCTACTTGTAAAGCGATTTTAAATTATTGATATTTAATAAAAAATTCAAGTTGGATGAAACTATGCTTTGCCACAAATCCGAATAATAAAATACCGGTGAAAAGGTAATGAGTTACAATTTCTTTAGCGTTTAAATTAAATACATTTTATTTTATGATACACACTTAATATGAAGATAAAGTTAATTTTTAATCACACAGGTCGTGTGTTAACTTTTTATTTTTGAAACTGTTTAGACCAGTCTATTCAGATTTTGAACTAGGACACCCTATTCTGTTTTGTTTTTAAGTATGCACTAAAATCTAAATAGTCTAGCTTTCTTTTTACTCTGTTTAGAGGAGGCTACATAGAGGAATAAACAGATTTATTTATTTAGAAATAAGACGAGTCAAACCACGGATATAGTTTTTTTTTCTATGTTCCCTTAAAAAAGGGATACTGAGCCCTTCCATATCAAATCGATAATAAAAATATGATTTTCGCGAGGTCCCTTGGGATTTGAGTGAAGTTTTATACAAACTAAGATAAATGTCAGTTAGCACCATAACACTTTGTAACTTGACATCTCTAAAAATGTAATAGCTAAGATGCTAAAAATTTAAACATTTAGTTGCTTGTTCATTTGTGTACAGATATTCAAATTATAAGGGATCCGGAGAATCTTGATCGATTTGACAGGACTGGGTCTAAAAACGCTATATAACTGGAAGAAGTGAAGAGAAAGAACAAAATAAAATTAAGATAGAAGAGCTACTTCAGCCTATAAATGATGAAAAATTACTTATATTTTCTTCATTTTTTATTACTACTACTATTAAATATAATCTAACAATATTTTTTAAAAAAATTTTCATTATCGCAATCATTTTTATAACCCACTTATTTTGTTTTATTTAAAAAAATTAATTTTTAAATTCGATGCTTAAGTATTTCTAAATTTCGTAAAACAGTTTTTAAGATTTTTACATCCCCTTTCTGTTAATAATTTTCCTCTAGAAAAGTTTAATAAATATCATATTATGTTTCAGTTATATATATAAATCATTCATATCTTGTTCAGCATAATTAGAACATTCGCATCTGGTAAAACGGAAAAGATAATATTCCAAGCCCTGAAAGACGCCAAAATAGCCACCGATAAAGTTAATTTTTATAAAATTTATATATCCCTTAAAAAATGATAATTTTTATGATGTAATTTTAGGCTAAAAATTTTTTTTTACTACCCAATATCACTTCCCTGATTCCTTATTTAAAATTTATGCTAGTTTCAGAAAACGTTTTTAGGTTAGATTAATATTATTTTTAATTTCATATACAATCAACAATTCCAAATAAATTCTCTAGAATTTAGATGGGACTTAATGACAAATTAATCCCCTCAAATGAACGAATTAAACAATTGGGCTTAGATTAAATTATCTACTTCTCAGTATTTTACAATTTGAAGAATTTATCAGTTTTATAACATTATTCTCACTAAAATGAAATTTTTTTGTTGAAAACTGGTTTTATGGCGATCTAATTTTATTTTGAGGTATTATAATTTTGTTCGGTGGAATATCCATATAAAATCACTAGAATTATTTTTATATGTTCATTTTTATCGGGAGTTTAACTGGACACCTAGGCAAGGATGTGGTCACTCCGAGGCTTCACTATATTATTATCATATGATACCATTTAAAAAATTAGCCCTTCAAATATATTCGACTCTTATGAGATCTTGCGAAAGTTGGAATCACTAGTGACTAATATATGCCCTTTTTTAAAATAAAAAACATACATATTAAACTTCCGTTTTATAAGCTTCCGTTTAATCTTATTCCGTTTCATCTCTCTTGATTCTCGAAGGGTTAGGGTTTTCGCGCATTTTTTTTATTGGCCCCTTGTTTTGTAGGAAGAATGAAAGAAAGAATTATTGATTAAAATATTTACTAAATAAAAAATAACGTAACTCCATCATTTTAGCTAGAAGAGATAGAGCCCGACTCGTTCAATTTCGAAAAGTTTTATGATTTATATCATAGAATATGTCCCAGGACGGATTTAGATGAACTCTTCAAAACCATGTAAAACTTATTTATATGTTTTCAAATAAATAATAATTTTGCAGAATTAAGATGAATAAAAAAAAGTGGGGTACAAAAGTCGCCCTGGGCTCAGTGGTTAGATAGTTACTTTTATAGTTAAATTCATAAAGATCTATTTTTTAAATAGTTAAAAATGTAACTAGCTACCAAAAACACTAAAAAATTTGTGTGAATGTTAGTATATATATAATATATATAAGAGCCCTGCTGTATTTTAATTTTTTTAAAATACCTTTGCCGTGCGGTCAGTATATTTTAAAGCCGAATATTTTAAATCACCATTATTAGCGATAAAAATTAAAAAAAATTTAATGTATTAAAAAAATCCGGGCTGGGCTTGAAATTTCTTCTAAAAATAAATCCGGACTGGGCCGATATATATTATTTATAAAAAATGAGAATATAAAGTGAATTCATTTTGAATCTACAATCTCTTAATATAACACTATTTGTTTAATTAATCTCTCTTCTATAAAATTAGTCGAAGTTATAGAAGCTCTTATAGGGCCTCTTTAATAGCATACCAAGCTTTTAAAAAGCCGGGCGTTGAAGAAATAAGTTAGAACGAGGCCTAATAAGCCATCCAATTACCATTGTGATTAACACTAATGAATTAACATTTATTTCAAATAATTACGTTTTTAATTATGCAAATTATCGATTTAAAAAAAAATATATTATTTCAAGAAACAAAGGAAAACATGACTACATAACCATTCCTCAATTTCAACAATTCCTAAACGATGTATATGTTTATTTATATATTTTGATATAAAAAAAACCACTTCTCAGTATGTATAATTCTGATATATCATTTTGATAAGCATTTTGGGTCAAGATAGGGAGGTGGCCACCTTTGTAAGTTTTATTATATAATACATTACAACAAATAAAATACCATTAAACAGTTAATTATATTAATAAGTGGCATTTTATTTAGAAGACCACTTCTACTTCGCCTTATTTAATATAAAAAATCAATAATCTTAAGATCTTACATGCCTAAATCAAAAAAATTGTCACCTTAGCATGTTTAAAGCCATATTTAGACAATCGCGTTACGACGCAATATAACAGATGATTAGTTTTTAAAAATGACTTAATAGAATATTTTCTTAAATTTTGAAATTGATTCTAAATTAAAATCTAAAAAATAAAGAAGAAAAAAATCATATATCAGCTGTTACATCATATCACGCTTGCTATATGCTTTATTAAATAACAAAATAACGGGACTTTAAATTACCCGTCTCTCCCCTAACAATTAAATTTTACTCTTATTATTATTTTTTCTATCAAATATAGTGTCGATCAATTATGTCAATCATAAACAACCATAATTATTGTATTTTACAAAAAAAAAAGAAACAAAGAGATCCTAGGCTCAACGAAATCTTGTTTCCTTTTTACGACCTAAAAAGGGCCAAACAATTAATCGATATTTACGAGGTCAATCGTGACCTCGCCAAAGAAGGTAATTTTATTATTTATTGTACATACAAATCAATCATTTAATCTTATGTAAGAAAGTAAAGAAAAAATCGTCACTTTAAGTATGTTCCAACTAACCATGTTTTTTTTACCCATTATCCGCCAACTCATATAAGAACGCCTTAGCGTTGACGGCTTTTACCGGTTTCTGATGTCGGACGAGAACGCGCCCGTGTTTCTCGATCGGCTGGATATGTACCAAGATATGGACCAACCATTGTGCCATTATTTTATCAATTCCTCTCATAACACTTACTTAGTTGGCCGACAATTCGGCGGCAAGAGCTCGGTGGAGATGTATAGACAAGTTCTATTAGCTGGTTGCAGGTTGCTTCTTTTACTTTATGCCCATTCCTAATTTAGTTTATTTTTCTCACATTCTTGGTGCAATAAAAAAAGCTTATTATTATTAACATGTGATTTAATAATTCCAATTTGTTATAACATAGTAATCCTTTATTCCTTAAAAAAATCACGAATTGCCCCTTCCCTTTATTAGGGATAGGTGAAACTTGATAAGATATACTAATTTTTTTTAGAGAGTTTGAACAAAACCTTCCAAAAATCTATTTGATCAAATTTTACCTAAAAATATCAAAAAAGTAAAATCTTGTGTAATTTTAATGCATAAAAAATCTTTTAAGATGAAATCAAAAATATTTTGAAAGATTTTTGCTCAAAATTATTTTTAATTTTTCATACTCTGTAAAATAATTTATGGGGTACTCAATTTTTTTTTTATCAATCCCCTATCCGATATATAAATATTTTCAAAATACCGATTGTCTTAATATCATCTATAAAATATATTTTTCCAACTTTTTTCTCTTTTTTATTCTATAAAATGTTCTTTTCTTCTTAAATCTTTAGTAAGTAATGGGTTTATGTTGGAATTTAGATTTCATTTTTAATCGATAACTGCTAACATTTTATTTTAAGGAAAAAAATCGAATCTGATTAGTTTTTCCTTTAACAATCCCCTATCCGATATATAAAATATTTTCTAAATACCGATTGCCTTAATATCATCTTTTCTTATAAAATAAGTATTTTTCCATAGTCTTTTTTCTATTTTTTATTCTATAAAATGTTCTTTGCTTCTTTAATCCTTAGTAGGTAATGGGTTTATGTTGAAATGTAGATTTCATTTTTAATCGATAACTGCAAACATTTTATTTTAAGGAAAAAAATCGAATCTAATTAGTTTTCAAGAGATGACGGGCCGATCCGATTTTTTTCTCAAAATATCGATGCCGATTCGATATATGTGTAAATTTTTTTGATTAAATCATTTTTGCATATTTATATTTAGTGTAAATTTTTTTAATAATTATATGTTTTCATACTAATAATACAGGTGTATCGAATTAGATTGTTGGGACGGAAAAGGCGAAGATCAAGAACCGATAATAACTCACGGGAAAGCTATGTGCACCGACATCTTATTTAAAGTTTATTTTTGTTTCTCTTTTAAAATTTTATATTTCTAAATGCTCAGCGATCTCATGCCATTCAATTATTTAATAATATATTTTAAGGGCTTTGATGTAATTGTTTGTAAATACAGTAACTGTAACTCGTTCACTCTTTTTTTAAAGTAACGAAAATATGATATTTTTTAAAATATCAACTATTTAATGTTTGAAATGAACTACCTTGCGCGAATCTGTCTGATCCTGGTTTGATCGACCATAGTGGCCGAACCCGGAAAATAGGTTCTTCAGGGTTTTAGAAAATTGTTATGAGATATTTCTTTATATTATATTTAGGATGCTGTATATGCCATCAAGGAAACCGCGTTTGTTGTTTCGGATTATCCAGTCATATTATCTTTCGAAAATCATTGCTCGTATGTTTCTTAATTTTATTTTCTTTTTCAATTTCTTGGTTCTTAAATTTAATTATTTTTTTCTTACCACTTTTTGAATATAATTTTCTTTATTGTAATTAACAGGAAGAATATATTTTCAGCATCCTCTCTTCCCTCTTTTTTCCTAAAGTCGCGACAACCCCTAAAATTCCCCCCAATTTCTCCCCTATAATTCCCCCGATTTCTCCCCTATAATCCCCCCCCCCCCCGATATCTCCCCTTTCTCCCCCCAAAAAGGTCTCAATTCCAGGTAATTTATCTCTATACCAATAATTCATACATTGATTCTCCTCATCCCTTTCAATACGTAAAAATACACCGCACCAAGCGAATACACCCCAAAAATTACAATCTGGACCTATTCGCGTTATCCAGTCCCATCCCAATACGGCATATACTATTCGATTAATTATCCATAAATCCAATATCTCCACTCTATTGTCCAACATCACTTTTAATTCTACTCTTCCCATCACGGCTACTTCTGATCCATCCAATTGCCGATCTTGATGTCTTCGCTTTTAATCATTCCCTCCGACCAAATACTCCGAAATTTCTCATATCCCATCACAGAGATAGCTGCCCCGGTATCAAATAACATGCATACCATATTCCCATTCAAATTAATCCATACTCTAGGGCAAGGATCATGCACTATTTCCTCTTGGATCATATTTATACATTTCGACTTCTCCCTTTTATCCTTATAATTAAATTTTTCCATTTCTTTGAACCACCGCTTCTCGACCCCTGTGGTATATCTTTTGCTATCATATAGTCACAAATACTGACATTCTTACGCCACATGCCCTTCCTTGCGGCATCGAAAACATATATTATTCAAACTTTTATTCTCCGTTAAATTGAATATTTCTATATCCTTATTTTTCCCGCTTTCAAGAATTCTCACATTTGGAGCAATTTGAGCCATATCTCTCTGTGGAAAACCGCCCCTTGTATTGAAATTGGCAATATTGCATTCCTCCCTATTGTCACCAAATCGCCCACAACCCGCACAACGTAATTTATCACGTTTTCCCGGGCAATATGGAGCTATATGTCTATATTTTCCACATTCTAAACATTTCGTTTCTTGGCAATCTCTTACCATATGGCCCCGTTTTCCACAATTATAACAATTTAGATTTTCTCTCCCTCGTGGATTAAAATCTGGCCTTATTTCCATTCGCCTTCCCTGCGAATTTTCTCTTGACCATCTATATGGCCCCAATTGATTGTTATATCCAGACCCTCTATAACGGTCTCTTCTTTGCGTGTTATCAATCCTATCATTTATATTTAACTTTCCTAGGCTACTATCAGTCCATCCTTTGATCAATTCCTGTACAGGTAACCAGGTTACCTTACCCATCACATCTTCTTCTCCATTATGTCCTTCGATGGTCAATGTTTGGCCTTTAATCCTTACATTCCTACTCTTCTAATTCTTCTTCCAAAAAATAAACTACATATCCATATTATTAAAATGAAAAGTGCTCCAAGATTATACTGGACCTCCCAGTATTTTATGAATTTTAAACTTTTCATAATCAATTCACAAGAAATTAACTATAACTTTTGTAATAAAAATTTTATCACTTGGAGAGTTAAGAGATAAGATATGATTAGGACTGTGAATATTCCTATAAAGCACATATACATAAATATAATGACTAAAATTTATATATCACTACTATTCTTTGTATGATATTTTAAACTAAAAACACTCTATTCCGTGTTTACTCTGTTTCAAATAATTAATTCACGAAATTTAATGTAAAATTCGTTTTAAATTTCAGCAATTTAACTAATAATTTCACACTATTGGTATAATTGTTTAATAAATTATTTGTTTTTTGTCAATATTATAATTTTGTCATTATTATTTTTTTATATTTTTATGTTGGGTTATAAAAACCATAAAAAAGAAGAGATTATCATTATCATTATTATTTTTTTCAAAAATTATTATATATATATTTTTTTTAATTATATTCTTCCTGTTAATTACGATAAAGAAAATTATATTCAAAAAGTGGTAAGAAAAAATAATTAAATTTAAGAACCAAAAAATTGTAAAAGAAAATTAAGAAATTAAGAAATCGGGTCGTTTTTATGGTAAGATGACTCCTTAGATGAGGATTTATCAGGTTTGCACATAGAAAAACTTGGCTGATTTCATCTTGCCGTATGTAGCTGGCCAAACCATGACAATGTCTGAAGAGAAATTGCAGCGAACTATGTGTCAGATGACAGCTCCCTACGATTATAATAGCATAAGTCGACACTTCATAGTTCTTGACTTTTCATCCTGGTTTACCAATTTTAGATCCGAATTTGCGACCCCAACTTTCATAGAGTTAGACAATTTGTTCGGCCTCACCATTGTATATTCGTACTCACAAATATTTTTGCCAAGGAGAGTATTCTTATATTTCAAGACAGATGGGTTCCTCCCCAGCAAAATCAATTAACACTTTATCCCAATGATGGTCGAAGATGTCACAATGGGCCCGAAGCTTGTTTAGAGGGGTTACGACAAAAAGGATGGACTCTTCTTACCACGACTTAAATCCAGTATGCTGCCTATAAAATAGGAGCTAAGATCGACTTAATGGGTCAAGGGGATAACCAAGTGGTCCTCCTACAGATGCCAGCACAATCAGAATTAATTTTCTTAAATTTAACTCCTACTACGTATCTCAAATCATTTATGGATAATCTGGCCACTATTTCATCTCTAGCAGGATTACCTCTAAAGGACCTGGAATCTTGGTCATCACAGCACTTATTTGAATATGGAAGGAAATATTATTATAAGGGAGCCCAGGTGAGTAACTGTTTAAAACGTATCTCGAGAATTCATAGTGAGGCAAACCAGGTTATTCCCTGTTCTTAATGGCGATCTTTCAGGGTTATTTTCCACAGGGATGGCGGTGGCAAACGAAGATGATATTCCGTCCTTTTCATACTCAAGCATTTTTATCACAGTGTCCTCAAAACTTCTTTCTGATTCTCGCCCTTATTGCCGAGGTACCTGTTATCCATATTTTGGATCACGGACTAAACTTAGAGCTAGAAGAGCACCTCTCCAAGTTATGGAGGTTGGAAACCTTGTATCTAATTTGAAGACATCATAGAGCTTATGGGATGGATAGGTTCAGATGAAAATTTACAATTCCTGTTAACATTAGTTGAAGAGAAAACTGATATTCCTTTTACAACGTTGCAACAACACTGTCGCATTGTCTACTCAGGATCCATAACACATCGAATTCTATGTCTCGCTATTCGAATGAGTTGTATGGCGAATTGTAACACAACTTTATCGTCATATTTCTTGATCATATCGGATACTGCTTCTAAGTATGCAAAAAGTGGTCTAAATTATAATTTGTGTTTTCAGTTAGTTTTCCTTTATGCTATAAGTCATTTGTCTCATTTATATACTTACGGGCTTGTTATTAGAGGAAACTGGGCAGTTACCTTAGCATGTTCCTCACGCATCTGGCAAATATTGGACAACAATTACAAACGAGCACATTCGTCGTATGCAGGTATTGATCTCGGATTAAAATTACCTAAACTAACTCCTTTGAATGCCTATTCGCTTGACAACGTCATATACTCCAGATGAATATCATGGTCACAGCACCAATTTCTTAAATTTAATTATTTAGATATCCACTATAATTTTCTTCAAGGGTTTTTATCTCTTCATACAATGAATTTGATCCGTCATGCAAGTTTGTTGTAATGGCTAATATCGACCGCGCATTATCAAACTTGGATAAGTATTGTTCCTGTATGCTAATATTAGTCAATGAGTACAACCGATTGCCTAATTTAGGGTTGTATGGTGTTAACGTCATCAATGTTTGTATCAATTTCATTTTTTCCTCTTCTGCCTTATCACCAAATAATCTTTTGATAGAGTTTCTAACTAAATGGGAGAGTTGTTGCTCTATACAGAACCTTAAATAATTTTCAGGTTGCGTTGGCATATAAATCGGTATACTATCTGGATCTTTTAATAAACTCTCATAATCCAGAGATCGTTTAAATGAGAAAGTTATATAAATACCAATAATGTCTTTATAAATCGAATGAGAATAAAGTGTTTTAAGCATCGATAAATTTAAGGTTAGAGGATCTCGGATCGCCCGGGTTGCAAAACTACCATATAACGTGATAGGGAAACCTCCAATATGTCTTGTTATTAGTAATAGTGACACTGTATGTTCACGCGATAATAATTTAAGCCAGGGCAACTTAAAACGTAAGAGATGTGCAGCTTCAACTATGGTTGTAAAGTATGAAAAGGACGGAATATCATCTTCGTTTGCCGCCGCCATCCCTGTGGAAAATAACCCTGAAAGATCGCCATTAAGAACAGGGAATAACCTGGTTTGCCTCACTATGAATTCTCGAGATACGTTTTAAACAGTTACTCACCTGGGCTCCCTTATAATAATATTTCCTTCCATATTCAAATAAGTGCTGTGATGACCAAGATTCCAGGTCCTTTAGAGGTAATCCTGCTAGAGATGAAATAGTGGCCAGATTATCCATAAATGATTTGAGATACGTAGTAGGAGTTAAATTTAAGAAAATTAATTCTGATTGTGCTGGCATCTGTAGGAGGACCACTTGGTTATCCCCTTGACCCATTAAGTCGATCTTAGCTCCTATTTTATAGGCAGCATACTGGATTTAAGTCGTGGTAAGAAGAGTCCATCCTTTTTGTCGTAACCCCTCTAAACAAGCTTCGGGCCCATTGTGACATCTTCGACCATCATTGGGATAAAGTGTTAATTGATTTTGCTGGGGAGGAACCCATCTGTCTTGAAATATAAGAATACTCTCCTTGGCAAAAATATTTGTGAGTACGAATATACAATGGTGAGGCCGAACAAATTGTCTAACTCTATGAAAGTTGGGGTCGCAAATTCGGATCTAAAATTGGTAAACCAGGATGAAAAGTCAAGAACTATGAAGTGTCGACTTATGCTATTATAATCGTAGGGAGCTGTCATCTGACACATAGTTCGCTGCAATTTCTCTTCAGACATTGTCATGGTTTGGCCAGCTACATACTACAAGATGAAATCAGCCAAGTTTTTCTCTGTGCAAACCTGTTAAATCCTCATCTCAGGAGTCATCTTACCATAAAAACGACCCGATTTCTTAATTTTTTAATTTTATTTTCTTTTACAATTTCTTGGTTCTTAAATTTAATTATTTTTTTCTTAACACTTTTTGAATATAATTTTCTTTATTGTAATTAACAGGAAGAATATAATTTTTTTTTAAAAATATATAATAATTAAAAAAATTAATCTCTTCTTTTTCAGGGTTTTTATAACCCAACGTAAATATAAAAAAATAATAATGTTATAATAAAAAAACAAATAATATTGATTAAAAAAAATATTATAAAAAAAACAAATTTAATTACCGAAAGCATGTTTATCACGGTATGTAACATTTTTATCAAATTTTACAGAAGTATCTTCTTTTTTAAAATAAAATTTATAAATGTTACTTTTTGTAACGGAATATCCGTTTTTATATTTATTTAAATTTCATCATATTCGAACTCACAGAAAACTTCAACAATACAAAATGTCAAAATATTGCGAAGAAATATTTGGCGATTTATTACTCAGAGCGCCGTTAGACAATTATCCGGTAAAACGAATTGCATATTACTAAATTTTTTTCTCAATCGGAGCATAATTGGTTTTGGACATAAATATATAGCCAAGATTTAGTTGAGAATAAGGTAGGCAAGGGTGGTAAAGTATTTTGTTTATTTCTCTGGGCAATGTCTATCCTAATGCATTTTTTGAAATCTGTTTATAGAAATTTAAATTCAAGTTTTTTTAAAAAATATATAAATGTGTACGATTTAGTTATCTCCTGGCGTTTTATTACCCTCACCAACTTTACTCAAGCGTAAAATTATAATAAAAAACAAGCGTTTAAAAGTGGACATCGAAAAAAGTTTACAATAAAATTTTTATCATTATTATATATATTACATTTACATTTGAAGTCCGTTTTCTTCTTGAATTTATGAATCATTATTATTTTTTAGTCACCTAGTTTTGTGGTCAAAACTTTTAGCAACCAACTTTTTAACGCTTTGTATCAACCTTTAATTATATACCCCTCTCTTACATTTTTTTTTCCGCATTTTATTTCTGTTTCTATCTCGTAATACATTCTACCATAAACAAAGAAAGAAAGATTTACAATTATTATATATATTTTTTAAAATATGTTTAAATGATATTTAATAGAACAACTCGAACTTTTGAAGCAGGGGAAAGCCGAAGCAATCGAAACCGAGTACGCAATCGCAGACGAGGAGGATGCCATTAACATAAGTTAGCAATTTTTTTTAAAAAAGAAAAAATTAAATTTAAAAGTTTCTAATTCAATGTAATGACATTCTAAATTAAATTACTGCATATATGTCCAAGGGTATACTGGGATCTTTAGCATTTATTAACTAATTTATAGCTAAAATATTGTTAAAAAATATTTTAAAGGCTATTTGTATGGTTAACTTTACCTTATATATTATATTTCATACAGATTTTTATCACGAAATTTAATTTTGGTTAGCCTTAATTAATTTATAAAAAATATATTTTGTATAAAAATAGCTGATTCAAATTTCTATTACAAAATTTTAATAAGCTAAAGAAACAATTCCTGATAAAATCAAGTATTTGAAAAACTTTTTAAATGTTAGAGATACCCATTAGATAGTGCGGGCTCTGAAAATCCTCTTGACCCATCGAGTTACTCCATGAATTTTAAAAATTTTAATTTCTAAACATGATAGGGCGTGACGGACTTTTCTAAAAAAATCGCCGGAAGTGATTAGGAAATGAATTATGGAAAATTTAATTATTTAAAAAATCGCCGAAAGTGATTAAGGAGTGAATTATGGAAAATTTAATTATTTTAATTTTCATTTCCCGCATTTCAAACCTAGCATTTTTATGGCATCATCTACCACTTGCATAAGATTATTTTGTTATTTGTGCAATATTTGATAAATAAAAACTTAATAATAAAAAAATAAACTCCCCAAAAATGTAACAATATTTAATAATCATTCTTTTATAAAGTTTTTTTTATAAAAAGTCAGTGAATTTTTTTGGGCGTGACGGGCTCTGATCAAAATTTTGTCATTAATGAATGGGCGGGTTGGGCAGAAAAAATTGAATAACAGGATTAAATGGGTGTAATTTTTTTTAGTGCTAGCACATGAGCGGATAAAATTAGGACTCACCCACCTCTATATTAATGTTTTCTTTTCGTTGAATAAAAATGGTGTCCAAATTTATTCTTAAATTATTATTTTTTTTATCTCTTTGAATAATTAAATATATTTTTAATACTCAAGAAAATGCTCACGAAGAAGCTCACCCAGAGTTTAACAAAGATATCCTCACTTCCCTCTCGGCTGACGTCCCTTTTGACCCTACTCCATCCGTGGCGCCTCCTCGCCTTCCAGCCTCAACTCCTGCACCAACTCGTGTCAAAAAAGAGAAAGATAGTGAAAACGTCAAGCCAGGAATCAATAATTTTTCGATTACGAGTTCAAATACGGGCAACGCAAGTTTGAATAACAGTATGAACAGCAGCACGATTCAAGACCCGGCCATATTGGCACTCGAGAATTTAAGTAACTCGACAGGGAGCAGTAAAAAGGGGAGTACCAAGTTTAAAAAGGTATTGCTCATTTATAAAAAGAAGTTTAATAGGAGTGTAGGGCTTATCTGATCGGATTAAATAACGCGAGTTTAACATTATAAAATTTGTAATAAATGATAGGATATGATTAAAAGAATATATATATATATGATACTAATATCGAATGTCAGGGCATGATAACTAGCGACGAGGAAGCGGCTCTCATGTCTACTTACCACTACACTGGGGCCACCACCAACATACACCCACTTCTTTCCGTTTTAGTCAATTACATGCAGCCTGTCAAGTTCCCCGGATTCCAACTCGCCGAAGGTATATTGAAACTAATTAATCAGCATTTTAATTTTCGATTAATAAAAATTTTAAAGCACCCTAAAACATTGACGTCACTGACATATCATTGGCGGGTTAAAGTGTCTCTCCTCTGATTATTCATGCGTAGAGATACATTCTTGATCGAATATAAAATATTTTATATTTTAAATATAAAAAGCAATTTTTTTTGACAAAATTATTTGTAAATTCGAAAACAATTTTTTTTTTGACTTTTTTTTTCCTTATTGTAATTGGAATTTAATCTGTTGTTAATTACTTTATTTTAAAAGAACGAAATTTGCATTTCAATATGTCATCTTTTAACGAAACTGCCGGTCTGAGTATTATCAAGAACAGCGTCATTGAATTCGTCAAGTTATTATTATTATATAAAAAATATATTTAAGGACATTGCTCCAACATAGTAAATAAGTGCTATAAGGAAAGAAAGACGTAATTTGTATTTCACGAATGATATTTTTAAAGAAACGCATTTCTGTTTCGCTCAAGTTTTATTCAATTCAGTGCGGTTTTTAAAATATTCTAAGAACAATTCAAATTTAAATTTTTTTTGCGATTTCGTAATTATTATCATTTTTTAATCTAAAATAAAATTAATATTGAGATTGAATTTAACAATCACGCTCCCGAAGTGAATTTCCTTATTCTTTTTTTTTATAATTTTTTACCCTCAAAAAAAATGTTGTTTTAAAGTTACAATAAAAGACAAATCAGCAGAATATACCCCAAGGGTGGAAGAGTAGATTCCAGCAACTTTTTGCCTCAGGTATTATTATATATTATGGATTTTACTGATTTTAGATCGAAAAAAAATTAATGTAACCCTACATTCACTATCAGCACGATTCGCGGCCAACTATATAAATACGCGGATTTGTGGCTCAGAATGCAAAAATACAGCAAAATTTTGTATATTTTGCCGCGAATTCGCGCTAACTATGAATGCAGGGATGAAGGATAATTTTTTTTTATAAGTTGGTTTATAAAAATTATAAAAAAATAAATAATAAACTATAAATGATTAATTCGTCATTTCCTAACTGGTAAAAAACCCTTGACCTTTTCTAATTTTTAGATATTCATCTAGAAGACGATCTTCTTCTTTATCATGCATATGGTCCCACAGTCGTAGGGTTTGTTTTGATAAGTTTCTTCCATCTGGATCGAGTAAGGGCCATGTCCGGATTTATCATCTTAGTCATCATAACTTTGTCTACTTGAATAATTTCATATATCTTGGGTTGAGTATAATAGTGTTCTATATCCATTTTTCTAAAAAAAAAATCTCAAATTCTCAGGAGAGCATTAAATTTTAGATAGAAAATCACACCATAATAATGCGCACAAATTGAGTGTCTGCGTTATAGTGCGCACAAATTGAGCGTTTCAAGCGCAAATAATGCATTTCAAATGATCTCGTGCAAATTGGTAAAATTACAGTTTAGCTTTAGCAACCATTTTAAAAAACGCAAATAGGTTTGCTTTTTCATTACTTTTCCCTTAGGTTGCCTTATTTATTAATATCGTCGATTCAAATTTATTAACTAAGTTATAAAAAAAATTGTTCTTGAAAATTTTATTATCGTCTGCCTTTTTATTTCTTTAAATTTCTAAATATTTAAGATATAAGAAATTTATTTTTTTTTTACATTTTAATATTAATAAATGAAGAATAAAAAAAGTAATGAATCCTGTTTGCCTTTCAAAATAGTCGCCAAACAATAATTTACCAATTTGCAACCATTTATTTGCATTTGCAACGTAGCGTTTGAAACGCTCAATTTGTGCGCACTATAATAATTCAAACAAAGGATGAATCTTAAATTATGGTTTTACATTTTTTTGTTAATATGGATAAATACAGTATTGAGGTTATGTCCTGGTTCAACTTATTTTCGATACTTAACCATATTTTGGTTTTTTTAAGTGTGTACAATCTCGTCTTCTTTTATTTAAAAAATAGACTTAAACCATCTGACAATCAACTTTTTTTTGAGGGTGTCCTAATCTGTTTAAATTATAAACAGTAAAAATTAAGCAAGCAGCATATTTTAAAAACTTTCAACTTGATTAATAAAATTTCATAATCATTAAAAAAAACAATGTTCTTATATTTGGAAATAAGTACGGTTTATAATATTATATTTTTTAGTGTTGCTAAACGGCTCAATTTGACCTTATTTTTAAAAACGGCTAACTCAAATATTTTAGCCAGAATAATTTTGCCCAAACCTCGAGATTTTGCTAAGAGATGTCCAAACCTTTGTGCCATCTATGACCAAAATCTTTAGACTTGCATAATATTTTCCTGAATAATATATTGAGTTAGCCATTTTCAAAATGTGGCTCAAATCGAGCCTTTTAACAACACTAATTTTTTATGAATAAAGTTAATTACTTTTCCCCAACATTCATTATATGCCGTACAATAGTAATGGTAATAGTATAACAAAATAGACTTAAAGCCAGTTTCATTTATTAACTTATAATATATAGACATTTAAAATTATCCTTAATAAATAAGCCACATACTCCAGTTGTCTTGATGATGACTATTAGGCCGAAGATCTATGGTTCGAACATGAACTGGCAAAAAATAATCTTTTCAAAAAATATATAAATTTGATATAAAATAAAATAATACAGGAATGTGAAAAATTTTAATTTAATTATTGTTGTTATTGTAACTAGTTCTAGTTACCAAAAAATTTATAAAAAAAACTCCAAAACAAATATATATTCATTTTATAACCATATATTTTATAAAAAAAATCATAATACAAATTTCAAATATCAAAATATATTATCCAAAAAAAATCTCATATTTTTTTTAAATGATCATTTCTTTTTTAATTATATTCGAACACGAAAAAAAATGTAAAATCACGTGTTCTTAAATGTTAATTATAATCCAATCAACCTTATTTATTTTGGTTGATTGGCATTATGTAAAATTCATATAAATTCGTATATAAAAATACGACAATTTAGACATTTTTTAGCCTTTGCACTAAAAAATTTATCGACAGCTTAATAAAAAATTTATCGTCTGCTTACTATTTGTAATTTCTAATATTTGCATATTTTAAGTAATAGAGTGTAATAATAATTTAAATTTTTTATAATGACTACCTAATTCTTGATTTCTTAAACTTTATTGTCCAGGACGTATTTAATATTTTTTGTAAGACTTGCGTTGCGTTTATAGTAAACGCGTTATCTTCAAGCGTTGCGTTATTAGTTGATTCATTTTAATTTTAGATAAAGTAAAAATAAAGACAATTATTTTATATAATATTTAAAAAATAATCATAAACTTTTTTATCGAATACGCTATTATTTTTATATCACGCATATTTTTTTATCAAAGCATCTTAACATATTTTTTTTAAATTTTATCATAGTATTATCATCATAACACTATAGTTATACATTTATACCTATTTATTGGCCTTATTTTGTAATAACGCAACGCTTGAAAATAACGCATTTGTTATAAATATAGGCCTAATTTATAGTAAATGCGTTATGTTTAAGTTCAATGAGTGGCATTCTTAAAATCTAAATAGCCTCTTCTTATTAAGCTGTTTAGAGGAGATAAAATATCCGGCTAAGCACACGGCTGTTTAGAAATACGTCGAACCAGGACACACCCTGAAGGATGAATTTATCGCAAAAAAAGGCATTTTGCAAAAGAATAGTGGACTTAGTAGAACACTATAATACTCAGACGATGATATAATATAAATCATTTAGATGCCTATGACAACCGATTAAAAATATTCATTTAAAAAAAATTACTAACCATAAATATGTATAAAAATTATAAATTTGAAAGTTTTGTTAAAATTTGGAAATTTTGATTCATTATTTTAATGATTTACATTTTATACCAAGATTTTTTGGAATGCCGGATGTCAAATGGTAGCTCTCAATTTCCAAACCGCGGATTTAGCCATGCAGCTTAACCAAGGCAAATTCGAGTACAATAATAATACGGGGTAATTTTTTATTAAATCTCTAGGCCTATACTAAGGAAGAGGGTTTTAGGGCCCTTCCGGTCGCTTTCCTCCTCCAAGCTAAATCATCATAGATTATATACTTATTTCGGGGGTAAAAAAAATGGCCAACACGGTTCTCCCTCCCCCCTTATCACTTTTTTAATGTAAATTCATGATGTATAGTATAATATATTCTTGTAATGAAAAATTATTAACTCAACCAAATTGTACGGCCATGATCGATATAATTAATAAAATCATTACGTAATTTCATTCACCAAAAAAATACGATCAATATCTTTTTATGGATTTTAAAGAGTGAAAAATATGTAATTTAAAATAATAATTTCACTCTTTCTTGAGTCACTTTTAAACTCTTAATGATTAGCTTGAGAAGATCTGACAATTCTACTCTAATTACATTTTGGGGATAGTTAAATATTCTCGCGGAAAACACTCATATTTAACTTTAATTATGGATATTGAAATTTGTTATTCAAAGTTACTACATAATTAAATAACTGACAAAAAAATGAATGACGGCTTATATTATTTTAATATTAAGGTACTTATTGAAACCCGATTTTTTGAGAAGGCCCGACAGACAATTCGATCCCTTTTCCGAGACGCCGGTCGACGGGGTCATAGCCGCTCATTCCTCAGTTCAAGTTAATCAGACATTCATTTCTTATTTTAGGTGGTTAACATTTATTCTAAGAATAGTTTGAGTATTTTCTAGGGGTGTACCGATACCACTTTTTGGAGCCCGATCCGATCCGATATTCCAGATATTAAATTGATATCGGCCGATAACCGATCCGATATCATATCTAATTTTGTATTCTGTAAAGATACTAATGGTTTTAATTTGTAATATACTTTTTATCAGTATAACATCTATAATTTAATTGTGCCATAACTTATGTCATTTAAATATATTATAATGATCATTTATAGTTTATATTCAATTCTATTTTCTAAAAGTATATAAAATATTTTTATTAGAAATCACTTTTATATAATAAGTAACAACATTAATCTATATACATAATAAGTAATAAACAAATATATCATGAAATTTAAATAAATATTTTAAATAATATTTAACATTAATATATCGAAGATTTCTTTTTAGAAATATCAAAATTTCCAATTTATCAGAAATCAGCCTGCGGCGATGGTAACTGTCAATATCACCAGCTTTACTAAAAACAGATTCTGAAGAGATTATCACACACTTTTATAAATAGAATGCGTAAAAAAATAACAATATGGCAAAATGTTTATTAATTAATTATTATTATTAAAAAAATATGGATTTCGATTTTATTTATAAAAATTACTGATTTTAGATATAACTTTTTTAAAAAATTTATAACATTTTATTTTTGTTAAGGACACCATTTTATATCGGATCGGCAAATTTTATAATATACGCCGATAACCGATATCTTATAATAGGTGATATATCGGCCCGATCCGATCCGATAAAAATATTGGTGCATCCCTAGTATTTTCTAATTCGAAGTAGAGATAATCCAAATTCGAGTTATAATCGAATATATGACTTTAAATCTAACACCTTCATAAGCCACAATAGCCGACTTCTACTCTATGAGTCACTCAGAACTCGATTCAAACTAGAAAGTTAACAATTTTATTTAAATCACGTGAAAGCAAGAAAGGAAGAAAAGATAGTTCAGTGTATTTAGAATAAAATCTCCAAGCTAGAATTCTATTAAATCTAATAAAATTAATAAATTAAATTATTTTTCTGGCATCTCCTTCCTTTCACGTCATGGGTTCATTTTTTAACTATAAGTTAGTTAAAATAGAGGTCCATAAATTAGAAGATTTTTTGAACACGAAGAAGCTAGCTGCTCCTACACCTATTTCTTCGTTTATTGTAATGATGTGTTAATAAAAGTGTAATTTGAAAAATTAGCTACTCACGGTGGAATGAAATTTTTCAAGAGATTGTTAGAGATGATAATTAGTGATCGAGTGAAAATCGATAATATGCAGTTTGGCTTTACGCACGGGAGAGGAACCATGGATGCCATTTTCGTGTTAAGAATATAAGAAAAGTTTTAGGCGAATAAAAAGCACCTATTATTACCTTTCTTGTAAACTAGGGAAAAATCTGTTTGACAAAGTCCCGCATGAGGTTACTGCCTATTAAAAATTAGGAAGAGAAATATAACTTGTATTTTATTCTTTTCGTATTTAGATTATATCCGGCCAATTCTTGTCCGACAAAAAGATTGGCACTTACGTAGAGGTGGATATGTACGGCCTACCCACCGATACCATCAGAAAAGAATTCAGGACACGGCTAGTGCCCAGTAATGGTTTGAACCCCGTTTACAACGAAGAACCTTTTGTTTTTAGAAAGGTTTTTAGCTTTATTATTTCTTAAAATTACTTTTTTTCAGTGCCCCTTCCTCTTCTAAATATTATGAAGCAGGGTATAAAAAAAGAAAAGCATTTTTAAGTTTAGTAAAAATGTATAGAAGGATTGCGAAAAGTAACTTAGTCGACAGCATCTCAAATGTAGGGCTTCGAAATATGATTCCCCCTATTTTGTATTTGATCATAATTGCATTCTAGGGGATTGGTCTTTCTCAGAAATTGATGATAGTAAAAATAGGAGTTTGTAATAATATTACATCATTTTTAACCTATGTACAGTTTAGTTTTTCTTTACTTTTTAAAGCGATATTTTTTTTAAAAAAAAATTTATAAAGGTAGTTTTACCCGATTTAGCGGTTATAAGGATCGGCGTTTACGACGAAAATAATAGACTCCTAGGTCAAAGAGTATTGCCGTTGGATGGTTTACAAACCGGTAGGTTTATTACATGAAATTTTTATTTTTATACATATTTCATAAGGTCGAGTAAATTATGTTACTCAGGACACAGATTTTTTTTTATAAAAAAAAAATAAATTGACAAAAGTTTTATTCATTTTCATAGTGAAAAATTCTTACTTACTGAGCTGAATTTACTCAAAGACTACTAATTAGATTTAGGAACCAGATTAGAAAAATGGGAATCGATATTTTGGGACAGAAGGGAGACTTCCGGCCACAGGTTCGGGACTTTTTTTCCAAACCCATACCGAACCTGGAAACTGGTTGAGATATAACACATTATAAATGCCCTACAATATTGTAAACAAGCAAATATATTTAAAAAATAATATTTTGTTTGCAGGCTATCGGCATATATCCCTTAGAACGGACGCTAACTTTCCTATGTCCTTACCCACCATCTTCTGTTGTATAGTGTTAAAAACTTACGTTCCGGATGGATTGGGAAGTAATACGAAAATTTTATAAATAAATTTTGAATCTAAGAGAAAGAAATAAATAATAGATACAATTGCATTTTATCCCTCATCTTAGTCATCTGTTTTAATTATTATTTTGTTTAAAGCGAATTTCATGATGGATTTCTATTATTTTTTCGAATCAATACTCCACTACTATTTCATCAAGTCCGACATCTCCGTTGTTCCCTAATAACTTTATTTGGATTAATGAAAATTATGTATTATACAAAAAGGCTATATTCATTGATTTTGATATAATATAGCTGACTTTTTAAATAGACAACCCCCAAAATCCATTACATTCTTTATTAAGAGATTTATCAATATGGCATAACAAATATCTTTATATTCTTTATGCATTCTTTAAATAAAAACGTGATATAAAAAAAGACTTCGTAGACGCTCTCTCGGCGCCTATGCAATTTATGCCCGAAACGGAAAAACGGCTCAAGCAACTCGAACAAATGGGCATAGACTCCGGCGATTTAAATGCGGAAGATCAAGACACCCCTTCTAACCTAAGCAGTTCTTATTTGTCGACTGGTCTTGGTAATCTATTAACTTCGGCCAATTCCTCCGGTAAGAGTTTAAGCAGCCTTGCACTGGGAGCTTATAAAACCTCAACGCCGACGACGAGTATGGTAGGCAAAGGAATTGGTGCCAGGAAGGATCAACCCGCTAACGAAATCAATATCGGTTTTAACGCTTATGAATATTTTATCTATTTAAATATAGTATATTTGCTTGATTAAAGTCTCACACGGGCCTAACTGATCCAATTTTTCTGCTACGCTTGGAAAATACAGAGTTTGAAATAAATTTTACCTAAAATTTTGTAATTTTTCATGCATAAAAAATCTTTCAATTTTTTTGAATATTTTTTTCAAACTCTGCAAAAATATATAAATTTTAAAAATTTTAATTCCTAATCAGATTCAACCTTATTTTTAAGCCTGATAAGATACGAAATTTACTAAAGATTAATAGGCATGTTAGCTTGATGTTTTGTGTGCCACTTTTTGAAAAATAAATTTTTTATATAACTAAAGTTTCTATTTTTCAAAAATCATTAGATTAAAAAATATCGTCATATTTGTATAAATATCATTGAAATTGTGATAAATAAAAAAGATATTGAAATAATTTGTTTTAAAATTTTTGCTAACTTCAGGCTCTGCCCGTAAAAATGCTTTTGACAGTTTGTGCACCCTGCCCCGAAATTTTTATGCCTATCCTCTGTCTTAAATAAACCTTTTATCCTAACAAAATAACCTACGTAGTTATTGGGTTAATGATAGGTATTGCATAATATATAGGAGATCAGACTCGACCACGTGATTTAATATATGTTAAAAAGGGAATCTTAATACATTTTAATAAACTTTGGACGGTATTTAGCAAATTAGGTTGTTATTTAAAATTTTTCTATACGTTGACTTGGCAGTAGGGATGTACCGATATTTTATATCGGATCGGATCGGGCCGATATTTCGCCCATTTTAAAATATCGGTTATCGGCAAATATTATAAAATTTTCCGATCCGATATAAAATGGCGCTTTTAACAAAATTTAAAAAAAGTTATATCTAAAAATCCATTTATTTTTATAAAAAAAATCGGAATATATTTTTATGCTTAATTATTTTAATAGTAATAATTAGTTAATAAACATTCTGCAATATAGTTATTTTTTTTCGCATTCTGTTTAAAAAAGTGTTCATTAATCTCTTCAGAATCTGTTTTTAGTGATACTAGTGATATTAACAGTCCCCATCACCGCAGACCGATCTCTGATAAATTGGAAATTTTGGTATTTCTAAAAAGAAATCTTCGATAAATTTATTTTATATATTAATTTCAAATTTCAATATATTTGTTTATTACTAATTATGTAAATAGATTAATGTTATTACTTATTATATAAATAATTGCAATTGAATTGAATATAAACTATAACTGATCATTATAATATATTTAAATGACATATGTTATGGTATAGTAAAATTATAGATGTTGTACTAATAAAAAGAATATTAAAAATTAAAACCGGGATCTTTACAGAATACAAAATTAGATATGATATCGGATCGGTTATCGGCCGATATCAATTAAATATCTGGAATATCGGATCGGATCGGCCTCCAAAAAGTGGTATCGGTACACCCCTACTTGGCAGTATCCTTCATTAAATACAAATTCATTAAATTATATTATTATTTCTTTAAAGCTTTCATTCATTATATAAAGCTTTCATTCATTATATAAAGCTTTGATTCATTATATAAAGCTTTTTAAATGAGAATAAAATTAGAAGAGCTTTACAAATTTTTTTTTAAAAAACCTCACATTCTTAGGTGACGGACATGCAAGCTCTGCCGCTCTTTTTGGTCCAATAACCCGCGAGATACTAAAAGGCGAAAAGGAGTTTTCCAAACTGCTCAAACGTCAACAGAAGGAACTAGAAATTCTGCGCAAAAAGCAGGGCAAGGAACGGTCCCTTTTCACTAAGTCAAGTAGCCAAATCCAATCCTTATCCCCGGATTTTGGGGACGAAAACGCGTCATCCATTTCTCCCGCCAACGCTAACGATTACGTAGATGCTCATCATAGGTTATTTTGATATTAATATTTAGTTCAAATTTATATTTTTAGAAAATTAAAAATGGGTAAAATATGTTTTAAATTTAAAAATATTATATAATGAAATATAAATTTTTTTTTTAAAAAACAAAAACAATATTCGTTATCATTGCCAAAGAGATCGTGAAATTTAAAAAAATTAGCGATTGTTTATGGCAATTTTTTGTATTAGAAAGTTTCGTTACTTATACCAAGACATCTTTCGATACACTTTCTTTTCTCACCATATATACATGTAAAATATCGGCCGTTACCGAGTTATACTGTAAGTAACGCACCTCTACTTATGACTCAACCTTCCTATTTAATATACTGTTGTAAAATTTTTGTAATTAATCACCAAAAACTCCAGGAGGATGAATTAACTTGTTTATGTCCGCATGTTATTAGTTTTCATTTATTGTTTTCAAAGTTGGCGTAAACTCATGGGAGGCGTTCCAATTTAATGATTTGTTGCTGAAAAAATTTAGAACAAATGGGAGGTTCGAAGACCTAAAATATTTAAGGCTGATTGATGAATTCCTAAAAAATTTATAACAGTGTTATTAAGGAATTTTGAGAGATTTATGGTGGCAATCGTAACGAATACCTCATTTAAGGCATGATAATTTGCTTTAACTATATCACGCTATTCTTTTTTAAATTTATAAAGGGGAAAAAAATAAAATTTACCTTATAATTTATTATAAGAGATAAAATCCTTGCTTCACCCTCTTCCATGCCATCCGGCCTTGCAGCTTCCAGCTTTTCTAACGTCTCAAATTTGACCAGCTCAAACATCAAAACATATAATGGTATAGCCAACGGTTCTATACACCCTGAATCTACATTTTTCAAGAAAAAAATGTAATTTTTAAATATTTGACATAATATTTAATTAAGAAAATTTTTATAGTTTTTAACCTGCTAAAGAGTATTATAACTAGTCATACGAATTTTTAAAATATTTTTCGAGTAATTCTAAAGAAGTAAGAAAAAAAAGAATATATTTTTGATGCTTTATGGAATATATTTATTTTATGTAGGAGTGATTTAAAATGCGTCGTGGGTGTTCAGAGCAAGAGCAAATATGATGATCCCAAAATATATGTATTAGATGAAAATTCCAAAGAAAAAGTTCGTTTTTTTTAAAAATATTTTTACATATTGAATTATTTAATGATAAAATATAAAAAGGAGAAGATGCATTTTAATATATTTTTAGCGATAATTTGCATAATCAAATCAGTCCATTTACTAAGCCTACGTCCTAGCCAGTGTCTACATGAGTGACAAAAAAAATCGAAAGCTACTTTGAAATTTAAACATACAATATTTTGTACTAACCTATCACAACTTCATAGACTTATCCTATCTCTTTTTTATATAAATATTTTTTTAATTCTACCGATTTCTTTTTTTTGAAAAGCTTAAAAGAGTATTAATCGAGCAGAGCCGAGAATGGAACGAATTACTGAAACGACAAAACGCCGAATCGGTCGTTTTAGAACAGGCTCACGTGACCCAACAATGCACGTGTTTGAGAACATTGATAGAACAACTCCAAATCGAGCAAATCAAGAATCAGGAAATCAAACAGGCCCGGGAAATTAAGAATATGAAATCATCCCAGGCGCGGGCGAGTATGGAAGCGATCAAAGCGGTACAGAGCGACAAGAGGATCAAGAATAAGGCCGAGCGTGAAAGGTGATTAAAATCATTATTATTTTTGTTACCACCCACTCTAAAATGTAATACATTATAAGTTGCCTTTTTTTTTAGTTTCGATCTTTTATAGTATTCGGCTAAGTTTATAGTGGACTCGATGCTATTTAACAGCTAATCAAGTTTATAAAATTGTTTAATAAATCAGTTAAATTTCAATTGCGATAACAATCTAAGAATTATTATCGTCCAATATGAATTCCGCGTTATTCGTTGCTACGACCAATACGGGTTAAACCGTAGGTCATCTTTCGGTAGTAACAGCGATACTTTGATAGTTCAAAAGTAATATTTTATATCGAATTCTAATAGCTCCAGATTACCTTAAAAAACGTTATACCATACTATATATAACTACGATAGATTCAATTTTTCGAAAACTTTTGAAAGGAATAATATTTTGAATTATCATTCTTTAAATCAACTTAATTTATATAAACACTTTCTTTTTGTAAAAGGTATAAAATATTTAACCTACCGATCAATTATTGTATAAACCCACTATCTTTATTAATATTTAATCTCTTTGTTTTAAATAAAAAAAATAATCCATCGAATATTCGTTTTGAGGTTTTAGTTTGAAGGAAAGTGTTCTAAAAAAATTGTTCAACGTATTTCGGATAAAATTTTTACCTTACTTATAAATATGGTTTTCCTTTTAACTGTTTTGGAATTTTGAAAATAAATATCAGAGACCTGCAGAGGTACCATTTGCACGACCTGACCCGGGTTTTATATTTTTAGACCTGGATTTTTTTTTTAAAGTTGTACGAATCTTGGTATGAACATCATGATTTGTGTATTTCCCTCTTTGTTTTTTTTTTTACAAAATATAAAACTTCACTCTTTTTTTTTTGGATTTATAAAAGACGCGTTCGAGAACTTAATTCTAACAACACCAAAAAATTCATAGACGAGCGCAAGCGAATCGCCATGAAACATTCCAAAGAAATGGACAGCATGAAAAAGGTTCATCAGGAAGAAATTGAAGCTCTTGAGAAGGAAAACGAAAAAGTAAAAGAAATTTTTTTTTTACGCTTTCTGAATTTACACATTCATTAAATCGATGCCAGTCTTTATTAATGTGATTCATATTTGTTAACACGTGATATTTACATATTTATTTATTTTTGAATTGACACAAAGGATTAAAATAAAATCATAGAAATAGTTGATTGACATGAATCCTGGACTTAAAAAATTTTTTTTCCGATTCTAAATATCCTTGAATAGATGGTTGCAATTCCTAAAAAAAATAATTTTAAATTCTGTAAAAAGAAAATCCTCTAAAATAAATCACAATTATGGTTCAATTCAAGGGAATTGCTGTTACAACAGCTGACAATAAATTTTTATTAAAAACTATTTTTCACCTATATTTAACCATAACCCATTTCTCTCCTAACTTTAATCTTACTCCTTACTTCAAATACTTGTTTAAATTTTTACATAAATTTCATTTAATCAAAAAAAAATCTCCTTGAGTTGAGCTATTTAATAATTTTATGGAATGTTCACCACCTGGATTTGTCAAGGTTCTGGTTCTTGACTCTGCGCGCGTTTGCCTGCGCGTAATCAGGCAATAGATGATTTATAGGGTGGACATGTTACACAGGTTCGGAATTGATTATCGGCAAGACAGATGTCCTTTTTCCTTCACAATTGCTGAAAAGATAAAGATATCAAAAAGATAATCGCCCTTAGAAATATAAATTAAATATAAATACTAAAAACCTACAAAATATTTTCAAAAAAGGTATTTAAGATACAAATACTTTGAGGAATACTTTTGCAAGTCAATTTTATTTTAGTTTAATACTATCAGTTTTTTTTACTTAAGTTATATTTTCATTATTAACCATTTTCTAAATCAAACTTCAATAAGATATAGTAATTGAAGAAGAGTTTCTATAATAAAATATTATTCTAATTATAATAATATATCTTTCTCAGGGATTCTGTGTAATTTGACAATTTTGGATGAAAATATTTTTCAAAATATCATTAAACAAATAATAGAGTGATAACTAAATGTTATATCTGCTCAACCAATATCATAAAGGGAGTGATTTCACCGAGAAATTTGTTATATGCTCTGGAAAACGGTGATATTAGTTATATTTTTTTAAAAAAAATTGAGAGTGGTATTAAAAAAAATTAACTAGCAAAAAGTATTTATTTATTCAAAAAGTTATCGTCAATATATCTGTATTTAAATTAGAGACCTTCATTGGCCAAGTATATTTTATACTGAGCCTGACCTGGATTTTTGATTTTTTTTTAATAATTGGCTGGACTTGGCCTAAAATTATTAAATTTAAATTTCGCGTATTTAACTTCAAGAAATATTGCCATTTTCTTTCTTCTAATAATGACTAATTTTAATACTGTACACAAAGTGATTGCCTAAATACACTTAAATATTATTTATTTTTTATTAAATACAATAAATTAAATTTTTGGATATGGGACTGGCTTGGGAATTTTTTTTAAATATTAGATATGGGCCGGGTCTCTGCCTTAAAATATTTTTTTTACTGCGGGTCTGGGCCGGCCTTGGTCAAAAAATTAAGGCCCATGAAGATCTCTGATTAAAATATTTTTATTTGAAGTTGTATTTATATGCGAATATATTTATTTGAAGGTTAGCCCAATTTTAGCCAAAATAATAAACGCAAGCCTGGAGATCTTGCTCTATAAATGACAGAAATGTGTATATCTATTAATGGAAGCAATCTCAAGGCTAGCATGATATTATTTTGACTAAAATCTTTGTTTAAAATTGGCTTAATCAGGCCATTTAACAATACTGTAGGAATTGACCAAAATATTAATCAGGCAATGCAATACGTATATTCCCGTAAACAACCATTTTATGCTAAAAGTCAGGCATTATAATACTTGCGTGGTCTGATTGATTGATTCATTCATTAAAGTGATTTTTTTTAGAGCGTTGTTGAATACAAATCCTCATTTCGGGTTCCAGCATTAAAATTTTATTAAATAAAATGAAATTGAGTTTTTATAAAATGTTAGTATAAATTAGTTACACGGGAAAACCAAAATGGCGTATTATCAGCTGTAAAATAGTGAATCGGTAATTTTTGGTATATATTGTTGTCATTGGCTAAAAACGCTTAAGTGTTACCTAGTACCCTCTCTACCAGAGGCATCGATTCTTTTTATATTAATATTTTTTGTATTCTTTTAGATGCAAAAAGCTCAACAACTTATCGCGGAAGAAGTACACTATACGCAGACACCCGAATCCGTTATATAAAAAAAAAAAAATTATTTTTAAATATGTAAATGTTTATTTATAAATTTTAAACAATGAAATCACTGGTGAAATTTAGAAAATTAAAAATGTTAATATTTGACGAATATTTAATATTAAATTCGAAATCCCAAATTATTATAAACAAAACTGTATAAAAATAACCAAAGAAGACCTTTTTCTAAAAAAAGAAAGATGGACACTGTCTCTTATAAATTTTTAATTATTTATATATTATATATAATATTCAAAATAGAAAATTACGTTTTCCATATTATTATATTATTATAATATTATTATATTTACATTTATATATATAATTTATAAAATATATTGTCAATTTTTTTTTACTACGAATAAATAAATAATCACGTGGCTATCATCTAAAATGTAATAATTGATTTTAATTTCCACATAACAACGAGGGATTAAAACTGTCTCGTGATTATAAGAAAGGATATGACATATTTTTTTGTTATTTGCAGTAATAAGGATACTGATAGGGGAAATCCTTCATCGAAGAAAATATAATTTGAGCTATTTATTACTGGTATAAATTGAATTGTACATCCGATTACCATAAGTTATTTCGTATATTAAAATGGGAAAATTTTTGAGCATAGTATAAAAATTGCATTAATATATTTAAAAAAAAAATATTCAATAAAAAAAAAATCCTGCTTACTAAATTGTAAAAAAAAGGTATGGGAAATATTATAAATATAAAATTAATCACAAAATTGAAAAAATATATATATATGATTATGATAATTACAAAAAAAAACATTCATATTAAAAAACATCTGTTAGACATCTTTTTGGAGTTATAAAGCTATCTAGTCTAGTCAAAGCCATCAATAATAATTGTTATTTGTAACACTAAGTTGTTGATGATAGAAAGATGTAAGTTTTTCTGGGTGAGTCATTTCGACTGAGCCAACGCAAATCAAGCATCCCTTAAGTTACGTATAATGTGAATATATGATTAGTTAATATATAATAAAATTAAAAATTGTGACTAATGATACATTGCGCTTTCACGATATATTGAAATCTCTTCTAATGCTTGGTGATTTCAAGGATCCGAACTGACAGTTCAGGTTCGGTTCTTAAAAAATAAAAATATCAATTTAGGTTCGAACTTTCAAAAACTAGGTTGAACTCGTTTGTATACAAACCTACATTCAAATTATGTATAAAGAAGCATAATAGCAATATAAAATTTATTATAAAAATTGTGACTGAAACTTATCAATCAAAATAAGAATTCGGATATAAATTAGGAATTTTAGCGATGTACTAGTAATATCTAAATGATGAGGTTCAAACCGGTTCACAAGTATTTTAATCATTTAGGTTCAGGTTTCGATAGAAAAAATACCGGCTTAAAGTTTAGGTTTGGATCCTTGGGTAATTTATTATACGCAAAAAAATCATCATTTTTTATTGCAGCCGTGGCTCAGAAGGTTATAGAATTGAACTTAAAAAAACGCAGAAAGCTTCGATTAAGAATCTTTCCCCCAGAGAAATCTATTTATTTCTAAAACCGACTTCCTAAAGCAGGTAACTTGGCAAAAGAAATAGGGTTAAAAAGTTTAGAGACATGATAAGAATTTGTCGTCGTTGTTTAGTAGATTGCAATATGGTGTAGAGGTTTGTAATGAACAGGTTAAAAATCCAAAAACGTTGGACGCGCGGATGACCGGGTTAAAAATATTTATTAAAATCAATGCGCTGATAAATTTAAGGCGCCGGGATAAATTTTTTAAAACAACGGTCGGCAGAGTGTTGTGTTTAAAACTCCGCCCATTGCAGACCTATAATATAATGGCCTACAAGAGTATTTAGTGTATCATAAGAAGTTCGGTTCAAAGCGATAATATTATGTATTTGATAAATTTTGATTTTTTTAAGAGGAATTTCTTCTAGATGAAAAGTCAATCAATAAAAATAAAAAATTTTATCAACACATTTATAGACTACAACTACAACAATAAAAAAGTAATTGTACATTTAAATAAAAATAAATAAATATAGATTTGTACATGTATACCGATCAATAATTTTAAAATACTTTACAAAAAATTTTTTGTATATTTTTTTTTCCGACACTCGTAAATCAATCAGCAGTGCTAATATCTTTGAAGGATGGGGGTAAAATAAGCCCAAATTTACTAAAAAAAATTAAATTAAAAAATGTAAATTGTGGCCTCTAAAAACCTTAATTTCTCCGATTACTGGTCTGAAATTAATAATTTTTAAAGATAAATATAAAAAAATCGAATATTACTTTTGACATCAAATCCTTCCCGAAACTTTTGACTATAATGATTTGGGCTTGGTCGGCTTGGAACAACGATCGGGGGTAAAACCGGAAATGCTCGCTTTCTATGCGCATAAAATCGAGCAATAACGAATTGTGCTCGAGCTGCAATGGTTCATTTTTGGATTGCCGCCTTTTTTGACGGTAGGTAGAAGAAAGCTCTGGAGTCGATACCGATTTCGGCATCGAAATAAACGTTTCGGAATTATCGGATAATTGGTAATCGATAGACGAATATCGACGACGGTATTTGTATATTCTCGTCAACATTTCAGATATATTGAATTTTATTGTCCCGTAGTCTATGTGATGAGTAGTGTCCTCTTCGATTAGTTCGATGTCGTAATTCGAATCGATCGCGATGTCGGTGTTTGGTATATTGTTGTTATCTAATTTTTGATGGGCAAAAAAAATATTCACATTATGATTCATTTTTAAGATAAATTACTTTCAAGTATCATTAAAAAATTGTTTTGGGTTTTCAACCGTTTTTAGATCTATGGGAAAACAGAAGTGAAACGGCAAACTGTTTAAAACAAATTAAAAATTGGGTGATATTAAGTTCTTTTTTTTTTACATATAACATTAAAATATTTCATTCTTGCCATCGATTTCTTACGAGCTATTTTAATTAAGAACAAAAAAAGGATTTTATATTATATTCAGTTTATACTTTATTATATACATATAATATACTTTATTATATACAAATAATATACTTTATTATATACATATAATATACTTTATTATATACATATAATATACTTTATTATATACATATAATATACTTTATTATATACATATAATATACTTTATTATATACATATAATATACTTTATTATATACATATAATATACTTTATTATATACATATAATATACTTTATTATATACATATAATATACTTTATTATATACATATAATATACTTTATTATATACATATAATATACTTTATTATATACATATAATATTTTGGCTTCCGAAATTATATAATTGTAGTAATAATTTTGGGGGCATATTTGACTCACAAAAAAATTAGATTTTTATATTCTATTATAGATATAGCGGACCCCATAGGTCATAACATTAAAATTTTAAATGTCAAACTCAAATTGACACCTAAACGAACTAATGACCATATTGGAAGTATACTGAGATAAAAGAACTATATTAACCAAATAATAGTAAAATTTCGATATTTTAAAATCACCAGATGGCTTATTCGGTTGAATCAAATCTATATTGCAAATCAAATGCTACTTTGTTTGAGAAATATCAAAATATGAAATTTGATTATGTTGTAGATAATTATGATATCATTGCTCTAAAATTGGAGTGTCCCATTTTTAAAAAAATTGAGTTGGCTTTATTAAATAATAGGTGTTATGATTTTTTTCAGTGCTTCTATAATTTTCGTTAGCATGATGCTAATCTTGGCATTTTTATTTATTTCATTCTTGCCAATAATGGCGGTTTTGTTTAAATTATCTAACAAAACGGAGTGAAATACTAAAATGTACTCAAATACATCCTTATTGTTGATATATTGATATAAGTTTCAGAATTAATGACTCCAGAAGTTTCATATTTAAGGCGTGATATCACTTTTTTTATTGGAATTTCGGTTAACATTTTGTGATCAAATTGATTGGCATACTTAATATAAACCAAATATTTGGAACTTTTATATTTCATTTTGACATTATGTCAATTTTGGTAACTTTTTTCTTACTTTAGAAATAATTTTTTTTTTCCCATTTCCAGAAAATATTAAAGCAATAAAATATTATAATTAAGCACTCCTTAATTGATATAAATTTCTAAATTAGCATTTCCAAAGCTGGTTCAGTTCATGCCAAAGTCATAATTTTCATTTTGTTTATAACTCGGTTCATTTCTTGTTCACCAAACTTAATCAAAATTAATAAATACTAGTTACAGGTCATGAACTAAATATTAGCGCAAACTAGATATTTTTTAATTGTACATTTTCCATTCTGGCATGATGCCAATTTTTCCTTATTTTACTAATAACTTTTTTTTCTCCCTTACAAGTCTACCAAACTTATTGAAATAGTATATAATTTAGCACTAAACAATTGATACAAATTTTCAGAATAAATTGCTATCGGTCGCTCTTTAGTCTCAAGGCCGGTCAAAACTTAGTTGTTAATTTTTCCCTACTATACTGGTTATTAAATAACTTATAGTCACTATAAAATACGATATATTGGCATAGATATATGAATTAGAGACCGGGATAATGAGGGCCTGGGAGCGAAACCACCAAAAAACTGTTAATACCCCCCACCCCCACACACACTGGATAAATCCTGGCTACGCCACTGAGTGATTCACATCTTAAAGATTTGTGAGTTCCGGATCAATGAAGCATATCCAAGAAATTGTTTAAACACTTGCGACATATATTATGATAGTTAATGATCAAAAGTATACCTGCAATATTATAGCTCAATTCCTCATCCTCTGCAATAGTATCACTTTTTTCGATATAAAAACGTGTATTTTTGACGAAATTTATGGGAACTTTATCCATAAAATCGTTCGCACCATCGGATTTTGTTGTCAAGATTCCCTTCATGGAATAAAATGGTGGCCCTTGTCTGTTCAGGATTAACGGCAATTCTATACTCTGCAAGGGATCGCCTCTGATAATTTCCTGGAGAGATAACCGGGATAAAGGATTTAAAACTTTTTTGATAACGTTGTCGAATTCAGAGTCTTGTCTGGCGATGTCGCTTTGACCCCAGTTGGAGATATTATTTTTCGGGGTGGTTATGTCGGGGGTGGAAGGAATGATTAAAGCTTTAAATATGCTCGAGTCCGAAAGAATGCAAACGAGCGCTTGGCATCTCAAATATCGAGAATCTTTTATCATTTGTCGTCGAGCTTCGTGGCAATCGCCGTTCACTTGAGTATCTTTCAGAATTTCTAGATTATTTTTGATAACTTCCGAACTATTTTCGTCGATAAATCGTTCCTCGAATCGCAGGTCATCTACAACCATGTTATTTAAATTTCTTCTTTTTTTTTTAAAAAAAAAATATATTTAAAACTTTTAATAAAAATAACATATTTTTTTATAAAATAAATATTATTTATATTTTATTTTAATCAATTTTCCAAAAAAAATAAAATAAATATTATATTTAAATTATTTATTTTTTTTAAAAGGGGGAATAAAAAAATAACATTAAAAATTATTTATGTTTTCCAACGTTTCTTTTAATTAATTATTTTACCTTGAAAAAATGATCGTTATTTTTTATTTTCCATTCCAACAGAAGAGAAAAATTGCTTAATATTGCCAATCACTTCAATTTGTAAATTTAATTAGAATCGAAATTGAGAATTTACGTCTTTACTTAAGCATGTTATATAGATATATGCTATAGTTACGTAATAGCTGGAATTATAGAATGCCCTAAGCTCCATATTCATTAAATCTTTTTTAAAAAAATAATTATACATCCTCAAGAGAAATAAAATAAATCTTTATTTATTTGGGCATTATTTTTGAAGAACAGCAAAAATATCTAAACTTTACATATTTTAAGAATCTAAAAAAACCTTCTTTTCTAAATGAGTGTAAACTTTCCTAAAATTTGCTTTAAAAATTTTCAAAGATATAAAATATTCCCAATTTATAACGATTTAGAAACCTATCCCATTCGAGACCTTTTTTGTTAGAACTATAGATGAATAATCCCAAGCCGATTTTTTGAACTTAAATGTAACGCTTAAAACTATCATCTCAGCCTCAAAAAAGGCTTAATTTTTTGGAAAAAGATATCTCGAACTTTGAAGAAGGCATTAAAAATTTCTTCACATCGACTAGCGAATTTTCTTTGGCATGCACTTGTAGATATCGATGCCCAGCTATCCTTAAAATATCTTTCTCTAAACGATGACACTGCTCCAAAAATATATTGGCAGATCCAAAAAATATATCGATAGATAAATAAAATAAAATAAATATTGATAAATAAATAATAATCGATATTTTTAACACTTTTTTTTATATTTTTTATTACTATAATTAAAAAAAAATATTTTGTCGTAATTATGATGAATTGTTTTCCATTTTGACAATAAAGTCGACTTTTAAATATATCGATTTTTATAAAAATTTAATTTCGTTAAATTTTGCATGAACTCGATAATCGCTTAAACTCGAGGGATGTTGAACTGAAAGAAATGTTTTTAATTTGGACGAAATATATTTAAAATTAAACAAGTATTTAAAGTAAGGGGTAGGATTAGATTAAAGGTTAGTGAGATATGGGGTAGGGTTTAGATTTTAAATAAAATTTTAATCCTTTATATTAATATCCTGACATGATGACTATAAATAAACGAAAAGAAATTTAAATAGAGCAGCTGTTGTAATAGTTATTTATCTTGAGTTGAATCATGAATCACGACCGGGTGGATAATAGTAAAAAAATGCTATTTCAAAACAAATTTCTAGTTAGTCTGAATTTATACTTCCTTAATTCGTCTTCATTATGAAATGCCCTCTCCCCTCCGCTTATGAGGCTAATGCCGTACTAGAGCATTTGGGCGAATAATAGATGACAAGCCAAATATCGAGTATTAAAAATCTATAAATTTCGCTTGATGTTCATATTTTTTTTAAGTCATCAGATGTTTATAATAATATATTATTTATAGTTTTAATTTTTTTTTATATAATTACTGTCAAAAACGCTCTATTTCTCATGCGCAAAAACGCTCAGGCATGGTCCTAGAGCTAATTTATAGTAAAACGCTTTAAGTTTAAGCTATGCGTTATTAACAAAGTCAAGCCAATAGATATAACTTATAATATGTAGTGTTATGATAACGCTCCATCGTTTAGAGTAAGCGGGTATCCACCAGGTATTTTTTAAAAGCAAGCAAATAATTGGTAAAATTTATAATGACTGCGGGATACGATCAAATAAATGACATCGTTTTAGATTGCCTATTGTTTCATGCTTTCGAAAATAGATACGTGTCACATCGTTTGAAGGATTCGCCGCAAAATCCCGCGATGTCGCTCAGGCGATACAATTATATAACTGTGCTATCGTTTAGCTATCAATTACGTTAGCAATATGGCGCTTACTATAAATGATGCCTTACATTTCTCATCTTACAAGTTATTTCGTGAAATTTAGAAGGAAAAAAGGGTGCTATTATAGAGTTTTATAAAGTAGTTCATATTTGATTCATCTCATAATTTATGACTATACGAATAATTAAAAATTAAATTGATAAATACGTAATTTATTTTATTCAAAATTTTCTAATGCGAATAGAATATCTCATTATTCGATTTCAAGATATTTGGGAATATTTAAAACTGAATCTGTTCAATTTTTAATCCTGAGGAGTATGATTTTTTTTTCATAATCATTTATTTATGTTATGACAATACAAGTATTTTAATTAGGGGTAAAAAAAACAAATAGTTTTAGAGCTTGTGACGTATTTTTATACGTTTTGATTTTCGCTATATCATCCTGTTCTAAAAAAATGCCTAAGGAATTGAGGTACGTTCTTTATACGAGGAGGAAATCTCAAAGTGAAATAAATATTTTTTAAAAAAAATATATATTGTATATTGTAGCAATGTTCTGTATCGACAAATATTTGAGAATTTTTTTTCCCTTTTTTGCGATCATTTTTAAACAAAATTTTGAAAAATGTAATGACTGCGCGATGCGATAAAATGAATTACATCGCTATAAATTATATAGATGCTACCTATAATTTGCTTGTTTTCGAAAAATATCCAGCGAACGCTATACGTGTTTACTATAAACGAGGCCTTAAGCTATATATAAAGATCGATTTTTTTTGGCATACGATTTAACGTAAAGTTCAAAATATATGAATAAATAAAAGTGAAAGTGTTTCACCCTTACCTATCCATTAGACTGATATCAAAATGCTTTAAGAGTTTGGACATACTCAGCCGCGACACAATATTTAATAAATTGAAATATATACTTTGAGTGGCGAGGCAAAATATAGTAAGTATATTTAATAAATTTTTGACTGGCGTAGGCAAAATCATTTGGTAGAATATAGCTTTACCCTGCATTCATAGTCAGCGTGAATTCACCTCGGAGTATATAAAGATTAATGTAAAATTAAATATATTTATGTAATATTTTCTATACGTCGTAGCGAATTCACGGAGGTGATTTAACAGCTGCTCGAATAAAAATATTTTGAAGAGGCCCATTTACACCCTCACGATAATTTAAGAATTAATAATCTTATATTAATGATATCGAAAAAATGATCTCAATAAAAGATTTTACTATGTATGTACCCTTAAAAGAGTTATTCCCCCAAAAAGCGTTGTATTTAGTATTTCCGTAACCGGAAATTAAACTTTTAAAAACAGGAAATAGTTTCCCTGGAGAAGTTTATAAATGGATCGGCTAATAAATATATAAATATTTTTAAAAAATTACCTATTATTTTTCATTATATAGAATAATAACTATTATTTAGAAATTAAAAATGGTGTTGTTTTTCTAGAATCAAAAAAAAAATTAATAAATGATAATTTTATTATATTTATGAAAAATAATAGTCTAATCAATTCAGAAATAAGAGTATCTAAATTAAAATGGCGGTAAGAAACTATGAACCGTCAATAATGGCTAACAATAAAGGCCAATGGCATATCTGGAAGGAAAGAATGAATCCCTCCCACCGGAAAATTTGAAGGCTATCGTAAATATAATTTTAAATAAAAATAACTCCCCCCCCCCCCAATCTCATTACATTTTCCCGAAAATAAAATGACTATAAAATTCAATGCCATCGATTCTATAGATGGAGGGAGACGATTCATCTTTAAATAAAAACTGTACATACATTTGTGGTCCGCCACTCGAAGCGTGAAAGACATTCATAGGAAATGTTTTAATAGCGTCTATAGTTAATGACATTGATTACAACTGACTTAAAAATGTGTAATTTTAATAAATGAAGTGCCAGTCTGATTTAGTATATTAACGCTCTCCAATATAATTTATGGAAAGAAAAACTTTCGCAAGCGTTTCTTTATCCTTAGGAAAATTCTAGACAAGTTAAATGGCTAATAATCGATGTCATTCCGCATTTCTTAAAACACTGATAGATTGTAAACAGTTTTGAATGAGGACTGAATATTAATAAAAAGGGTAATTCCGGCTTTTCAACAATGGATTATTTGATCAATAATATTCTAAACGAAGAGTAAATTACCTGGCTAAATTGAAATGATTGATTTTAATGAGTGACTAAAGAAATTTTTAAAATACTATTTATATTATTATTTCATGATGAGAATAACCTTTTTTTTATTGATACAAAATAAATAAAAACACACATCAGAATACATTCGTTTTATTCTCCTTGAATAGCAAACTCAATAAAGTGATTAATCATCGAAAAGTTGCTGATTGTTGTTCAAATCCTCCTGGCTGCCCAAATTCAGGGGTTGATAATATTTACCCTTCACATTTTTCGTTTTTTTACCGATTAAAGTTTCCCCGATAGCTTTTCTCTTGCCGTTGGACGTGCACGCGTTTTCCCTGTCTTTGTAATCGTAACTATTGGTTGCCTCCATTTGCATTACCGGTTGTTGAAGGTAATCTTCAATCCAATCTTCCTGCACACTCGTCTTGGGGGAGCGCATATTATTTTGGGCGTAGAATCTGACTTGGCTATCTTTGTCCAATCTGTGGTACTGACTGTTATCGGTGGTCAAGTAGGGTGATTCACTCTGTGCTTCAAACAATTTAGCGTATACATTCTTGATTTTTGGTTTAATAATTCCTTTAGTCTGGGAATGAGGTTGAGTAGGGCTTCGGCGTCTTATAGGCGAAATATATTCCTCGTAATGTTTTCGGTCCGGGGATGGAATCAGGAGTGATCTAGAAGCCGCAGAGTTATCGAGAATTTGATATCGTGCATAATCGTTAAAAAAATGTAAATTCTCTGGGCTATTATTTTTAATTAGCGGAGAATTTGAATCATACTTTGTTGGGGTAGATTGGTTTGGCTGATCGACAGATGTTCTTTTATATATTTCGACCGGTTGGAGGTAATCGTCAATCCAATCTCTCTCTTTCCCTGGCACAAACGACATTTTATTTTCCAGAAAAAACCTCTTTTGACCTTCTTCATCTAACTTCGAATATAGATTATTAAAATGAGTCGTTTGAGGGATGTTTTTTTGATCCTCGAACAATCTAGTAAAGATGTTTATAGTTAGCTTACGTTTTTTCGGTTTATCTTTATTCGATTTCATCTAGATCATATTATTATCTCAAAGCCCTTTTAATAAACTGGTGGATAATTTTTTTAAAAAAAATGATATAGTAATAGTAAAAGAGTAGATTTATAAAATAACGATATGCATAATAAAGTAGAAAATTATCAAAACATTTCTATATTTTTTATGATTATTCTAAAAAAAGTAAATTTTTTAAAAAAAATCTTTCCATAAATAATAATGATTTTCAAACAACCAAAAAACAATTCGCTTAGTTCTCGTTTATAGTAGGAGCAAAACGCCACGATGCCTCTTAAACGAGAACATATCTGTTATAATTTAGCTTTCGTTAATTACGCATGGTTTTGACATCATGGTATTTCACGCATACTATAAACGAGGCTTTAATTAGAAAACTTTGATTGATAAATATTGGCAAAAGTAATGATGGATTTTTTATATTCGCTACATAGATGCAGTAAAATATCAGCCCGATGCATCACTTATGATATAGGCCGATATCTTTTTTGCTCGTTACATAATTATCAAAGGGAATTTAAACAATTTCTCGATGCCGAACTAAAAAAATTATATTTTCTAATAAATTTATCTTAAAAATAATTAATTTCTATTTTATTTAATAAAAATTTAGAAGTAATAGTGTGACACCTATCAGTACTCTTCTCTTCTTCCTTGCGGTTAAATTATTGCCTAATCTAATCTTCAAATTAAATAAAATTTATATTTGTAATTTAATAGTCATCTTGAAATTTTGATTTTAAGAGGAATTATAATATTTTCCTCGTGGAATAAAAAATGTGCCAATTTTCTTAAAACTTTTTTCTAATACTGTAACCTTAAATTTAAAAAAAACGCTTAATATAGGCCTTATACATAACCAGAGTGTTTTAGCTAATAATTTTATATAGCAATCCAATCCAATTAACCGAACGTTGTGAAATATCTTTTGTGAAAATTTATTTTAATCGTCTACTTACTAGTTTTGTTTGTAAAAAAGTAATTAGTGTTATAATATGTTATAAGACTATGTATACTTTATAATTAAATATTTAGTTTTCATTTATTATTTATTTAACTATTAAAAGCTAGACTAGAATAATCTGCTATTGTGTTTACAGACAATAAATTTTTTTTATTCCTATATATCATGATTCGTTGTTATATTATTTATCATAAAATTATAAAATAAATATTCATTTCTTCTTTTGCAACATTTTTAATACAGTAATAGGGAAAACAATTCCATATTTATTTTAAACGGACGAATAAATATAAACTAAGACGCAAATATGAATTAGAAAAAAAGGTGAATTATAATGGGTCATTTTTCTTCTTTAATAAGATGGAGATCGTTAGGCTCATTTCCGGCGAAATTAGTAGATGATGGTATACTGGTTAGTTCTTTATATTCCATCTTTATTCTCTTAAAATATGTAAAAAAAATTTGAATAGTAATTTTTTTAAAATAAATTTGTATTATTAATATTGCTAGCAGACCATTTTTTGAAAATGAAATGGCATTAGCAGTCTGAACCGGTCCGGTTGTCTATCATTAGCCATTATTGAAAAAGGCCTCGTGTACGGAATACCGCGCTCAAGAGACGCGTAATTTACAAAATATATAATGTTGAATTACACAGCTATACTATAGTTTAGCGATGAACGTTACATCGCTAACAAACGATGCCTAATCCTGCATTCAAAGTTAGCGTGAATTTGTGGTGAAGTAAACAAATAATTTTTATATACATTTTCGTATACTTCGCCACAAATTCGCGCTAACTGCGAATTCAGGGTAAATTAGTCCTAAAAATAATAATATAACTACTCTTAAATTATAACAAAACCTTACCCCTTTATTATTGAGATTTGCCACCCCCCCCCCCCCTCTTATTTAAAATTGTTTATCGAAATGTTCTTATGATCATATTATAAAAATCTCACTGAACCCTATTTCGTCGGTTACGATGTCTTAATAGCATTAAATATGCTTGAACAAGTGTGCATCGTAAATTAAATCAGTAATTTCGTTTTCTCCAATTTGCTAAAAATATAAGATGGAAGTTTGTCAAATATTCTAAATACCTCGAACTTTAAATCATTTTGTGAAAACAATATTGCATTACAACATGTATAACGTAGATTTTTGTGAGTCAATTTAGAAAAGGAAATTTTTAGACTCTTTCTGCACCTTTTCTAACAATGCCATTGAATAACAAAAATAAATTAAGGAATAACTTACTTGGGCGGAAATATCGATAAAATTATTAGCGGTGGTAAAATCCATGCTTTCGTCATGTTGACTAACATTTGTCTCTTGTTGTTCATGTGTTGTAGTAGTAGCATTAAAAGAAATATCATCATTAACACTACCATCATCATTCAAGGCATCTTGTGAGTTAAAATTTGCTTGGGATATCTCGTCCCTGTACATTTTAAGATATTGGATTTCGTGTTGCGTGGCTGTCAGAGCTCCCTTGAGTTCGTACAAAAGGATGATATCTGTGCGTAACTATTTTTTGTTTTGTACGATTTTTAAATAATATAAACTAACACTTTATAAATATAACATATTTATATGTATTTAACGTTGTATATTAAATTATTATGTAAACTTGTATATCAAATTTTTTTAATTCAATATCTTAAACTATTTAATCTTTAATTTTGCTTCCCACAATATCAATTTCCTTCCAAAAAAATTCATAAAATACGGTCAAACTCAAAACTACTTTAATATTAGATACATTTAATGCCACCTTTTATCTTAAACTATTTAATCTTTAATTTTGCTTCCCACAATATCAATTTCCTTACAAAAAATTCACAAAATACAGTCAAACTCAAAACTATTCTAATATTAGATACATTTAATGCCACCTTTTTATCTATACCAAAACCCAAATATCAAAAATAATAATGTAGTGTTATATTTATATTTGCTTGAAGAAGAAGAAAAGATTAACATTTTCAAGAGTTTGAAAAAAAAACACCTTCAAAGATATTTTTAATTAAAAGATATGTATAAAGATCAATTTTTTATTTTTAAAAAGGGCTAACTCAATATTTTATCAAAAAATAAATAAATAACGTAAACCTGAAGATTTTGCTCATAGATGGCACAAGGGTTTGGACATCTGTTAGCAAAATCTCAAGGCCTTGGGAAAATTTTTCTGGCTAAAATCTTGAGTTAGTCATTTTTAAAAATCGGCTCAAATCGCGCCATTTAACAACACTAGATTTCAATCATAAAATATTTTTTTTATGTGTAAACAATCAAAAAAGATTTGCTTACAAAAAATATTAAAAATTTTATGTAAAATTAAATCAAATATTGTGTATGAGCACTCTTAAAAAATCTTCAGAGATCATAAAACTTTGAAGATTTTTTCCATTCTGACGAGCATTTCAAACTCTGATCACTATTTTTTTTTTCTTAATTTATTTATTTGTCATTTATAAAATTATAATAAAAAAAAATAATAAATCGGAAAATAAAGAATAATCTTCTTTCTTTTTTAATCGGTTTACATTTTTACTTTTTTTTATAAATTTATAGCATAATGGTACCAAAGAGAAAATTTCAAAATTTAAGAAGGTTAATTATTATTTCTGAGTAGTATCATCTACTGATTGATATTGATTAAAAATTTAATGTATCAATTCATCTGTTTTAAAACAATAAAATTTTAAAAATACGTGGAGGACGGTAAAAAATTAAAAATCCGTGACCATTCCTGTCCAAACCGTAAAAATTTAAGCCCCCGCAGTAGAACATTATAAAGATGAGCTCAAATCCCGGTTCATGTCTTAATTTTAAGAAAATTCTTTCTAAATATTTTTTTCAAGACTGTGATGAGCCCAGGCTCGGGACTAAAAATAAATAAAAATTTATACCATGCAAAATTGGTAATAGAGAATTTTCCTTAATTTGGATAACCATCATCTTACATACTATTTCATTAGATTATATTTAAGCAAGTAACAGGCAAGGGTTCTTTGATTTTTACGATGTAATAATTCTAAACTATATAACTCACATCAAATTATTCGCATTATTCAGTATATTATATATAACCTGAGGGGCTCGGGGCGAGTATTTAATGTAACTAACAATTGAATGAATGATAAAACTGAATATTGGGCAAGGTGATGAATATTATATATAATAATAACTATATCATAATTACATTATTAAAAGCTAGCACGACAGATTCATTCGCTGGAGGATGGTAAGGGTGATTGTAATAAGATACGGCGTTCCTGTTAATTACTTCTTTTTCCTTTTCTTCTCTCCCATCTTTCTCGTAGTTTTTGTTAGGATCTTGACTATTCTCTAGGGGGTTGGGGTTAGATGGAGGTGGCTTAATACCGGACTCACCTCCTCCTAAAAGTTCGACTAAAGCTTGTTCAATGGCTTTGGTCTTTTTCTGACCCAAGCTTATAGGTAATTTCATCTTGATATATTTTTTGTAGAACAAGCAAATAATAATAATGTATTATTTGGGCTGCTTTTAAAATATTTTAAAAAATTCAAAACTATATTAAAAAACACGAAATCAAATAAGCCATTTATAAAAAATTAAGAAAAATTTGTGCAACAAGTTTTACACAATCTTGATTTCTATTCCTAAAAATATATTTCTTTTTAAAATGGGGTAAAAATCACGTGTCCTTCATTCAAATCAAAATAATAGTGATAATTTTCTTCATAAATTATTGAATATAAATTTGGCAATCAACCTAGAATTTTCCACACTACAAACTATGGGGAAAGTAGATTTAATAAAAAGCTGATGGGTATTTCAATCATTATTTTAAATTAAATTAACTTAAGAATTTCTTTATGATTGCTAAGCTCTTAAAAAGTGTTAATTACGAAAAATGATTAGTCAGTATAAAAAATATAAATAATTAAATTCCACCTTATTGCTCCTCAGGAAAACACCGGAGGATTTATAATCAGGAAATTTGATACCAGAGAAATTGGCTTGGTCAAACATTGCCTGTATAATAATAAAATAATTTACATTAAAATACAAATCAAATAATCAATATATAAAAGTACATCAATGGACTCAATTATATGAATATTTTTTTTATTAAATTAAAATATAGCAACATTGTATAAAAAATTGTAAAAAGGCACCTGTTGATAATGATGAAAGGCGGAGGCCCTGTTATGATGTCGTTGTTTACTAGAGACCCTACTGGTAGATTGACCAATATTCGTGGACATTGAACCAGTCTGAAACGACCCGTATTTATTGAACATGGCATTTTGAGAGGACGAAAGCCTACTAATTTGAGTTTGATTACTTCCCCTCACGTTTTTGAAAGAGGGCGAGTTTTTAAATCGTTTATTGGGATTGTTCGGGGTATGAGGATTGATGGGTGGTTGGTTAAAACTAAAATTACTACCCGTTTCTTCTGAACTAACATCGAGATGATTGTAATTCAGTGCTTTTTTTTCAATTTTGAAAAAGAGGGACTGATTATATTAATAGTTGGTTAAAAAAAATATTTAAAGCTTTATCTTCATGGCCCCTTATCCAAAAAATTAATTTTATTTTTAATTTTCAGAGTCTAAATTTCAGTTAAAATTAACATTATTTATCATAAATTTTTATTTTTTATCTAACTCAACCAAATGGGTTGATCTGGTCCGTGAAATCAATCGTTCAGACAGAGCATCAACCCAAGCATAAAATTAATATAATATTTTTATGTTATTTATTTTTTGCTCATTTATATTTTTTTATACGAAATGAAATCTGAAACATGTAAAAACATAAATTGGTCAATTATTGTATAGCCCTATAAATCGACCAAGTCAGACCGGAGAAAAAAATATTCAATTAAATAAAGGTGATGATTAGAATTTTTAACGAGATTATAAAATAATATGCATTGAATTATGACATTTTTAAAAGATCGCGGGCATCTTATTCATCACACATGTTGCCAAATGTAATGAAATGGGAGAAAAATGGTTCATCTTTTAGAGTGAGATGCTCAATTTGTCTAAACTATTCTATATCGGTATGAATAAATTAGGGTATTGCAGAGGTACCGACCGGCTCGAATTTTTTTCAGCCATCCGGCCAGGGTTTAAATATATGACCCGGCTCGGGTATATTTAAAAAAATTAAAATACCGCCCGCAAATACTGCATTGCTAAAAGAGATTAATCGAAATTTTATGATACAAATTATATTTTTAAACTAATTTTCAGAAACATATTTTTATACTTAATAACCAATTTTTATCAAATAAAAAGGAGATTAATTATCTACTAATCTATTTTTATTTTAATATCAAAGGAAAATATACATATTTTCTGTCCTGTGGTAATATTAATTCGTTTCTTGAAACTAATTTTGTTTAAGCTATTTTTTAACAGTTTAATTTGTGTTTGTTTTCTTTGATTATTTATCTGTCATTTAAAAAAAATTAGATATATTTTGGAGTATCTATATATAAAATCTTCGTAATCAAAATGTGATCGTTTTCCTATCATCACAATGTTATCAAATTTAAGGAAACCCCTAATTTTAAAATTTCGACCGATCCGCCTGGCAGAATTCGAGTTTAAATTCGGATTTAGGGTGAAATTTGAACCCAGAAAGAATATTTTTTTGCATCAACCAGATTCGAACCCTCGCCTTCTCGCCCCAGAGGGAAATGTTCTGCCTATTCAGCTAGTGTTGTTAAACGGCTCGTTTCGAGCCGATTTTTAAAAACGGCTAACTCAATACTTCATCCAGATATATATTACCCAAGCCTGAAGATTTTGCTCGTAGAAGGAACAAAGATCTAGACATATATTATCGAAATCTTGAGGCTTATGCAATATTTTTCTGGCTAAAATATTATTAGTCGTTTTTTAAGAATCGGCTCAAAATGAGCCGTTTAATACACTATATTCAGCCCCTCCCCCCTTCCACATTATAAAATTGCAGTAATATTTAATATAGAAATAAACAATATTTATTTAATATACTGCGCACACTCATTAAAATGGTCAATATATTATTTTTAGAATAATCAATATTTAATGCAGGGAAAAAGAAAGATGTTACTAAACTTTACATATAAGTCATTATTGCAAGAAAAAGGGAAAGAAAAAGAACAAATTTTATTAAGTTTAAATTGTTTACACTAATTTTTTAATAGCAACGAATAAAAAAGAAAGGTATTATACGAAACCTTACATAATTAAAGGATTCATTTGTTTATTAAAAAAATTTTTTTAAACTTTTATAAATTTTTCCATTGTATAATTTAATAAAAATGTCTTAAGTTTAATTTTATATTTAGAATAATAAATAATAAAAAGATTGATCGTTATCTTTACCTAATATTGACTAAAATTTAAATTAATGAGAAATTTGGGATAAGAAATCATGGATAAAATAAAAAATATTCAAAAATTTGATATATAATTAAATAAAAAGGAGACTATTTGATAATATTTATCAGCTCATAATATCTCAAATTTAATTTGCAATTTTTAAAATTTAATAAATATATGTCCATAAGGTGGCATTAAAAGTAAAAAATAAAAATATCATATGTAGAAATCCGAATGAATAATGGTTAACGCATTTTTTATATTTGGGGATAGAGACATGTAGACACATTTTTTAAAGAGCTGTACATGGTTGAAAAATTTGTTAAAAAACTACATAGGGAGTCCTAAATATATGCAAGAATTTATAAATATTAGAGGTGGCCGTATTTCCAATGGATGTTGCAACAAAGTGGAATAGTAAATTCATAATGTTATCTAGCATAAATAAAGTATTATAATAATATTTAATGTTTGATACTATTTTATTTTATATAGCATATACAGGTTGTCAAGGATTAGGGCAAGAAAGTTTTTCTTTAAATATTGAGGATTACGAATTTTTAAAACAACTCCAACTATTTCTTTATCCTTTTTATAAAATTACCTATGAAGTATGTTCCGAAAGATCCCCTACAAATTGGGATGGCGATTTTGTATATATAAAATATTTATAGAACCTTAGATAGACATGCTGACTATCATCAAATTAAAGCTATTAAATAGGTATCGAAGAAGATTGATAAATGCGTTATTTATATGTCGCATATGACAAAATTCGAAAGCTACGTAGGCAATTTTCTAGACCCAAGGACCAAAAAGGTCTTTCTGCCTATTTTATTAATACCGCGGGATGTTACGAAAGTTTATTTAGTAGTTACGAAGCATCTTCCTCTCAGGCATGAATTTGTGGATACCGTATCTAATTTGATGTCGGTTAATATATTGAATGAGATGAGAAGGTATATATAGAAATTAATTCTAATTATTTATATAAAATCATTCATATTTTATATTTAGAGATGCTTATATTATCCCAAATCCTGCTATAGAAGAGATTTAGGATTATTTGGCGGATCCAGTGGCAAAAACAAAGTGGATGTTCATAGCTGGTGGTCTGGAAATGCCAAGTGATTTCCAAAGTTATCGACCATGGCCAGAGATTATTTAGGGCAACAAAGAAAATCGGTTACCAGCGAAAGATTATTTTCCCGAGCTTCCGATACCCTTACAAAAAACGAAATAGAATGTCGGCTACAACTCTCAAACAATGCCTATCGATAAATTCACAGGATCTCCGCATATTTTATTTATATATTACATAATATAATTTTATGAGTGTTTGGGAAACATAATTTTATGACAATAAAAAAGCAAGTTGAAAGCAGAGTATAAAGTTATGTGTGGAAGGTTGAAAAAGTTTTTAAAAACGAAAAAAATAATTTATGGAAGTGTCAAGAAGATCACCAAGCTTAATGAGGATATCAAGAGTATATTGTATTGGTTCTGATGAACTCTACTATATTGGGAGTAAATGGGTTAATACATTATAGCTATTAATAAAACTGAAGATATTAATTTTTTATTAAGAAAGAAAATTTTATACATGAACTATTGGACAATTCTTCCAGCTTAATGTTGATTTCATTTAAGTTACTACTGTCTCGGATTATTTCTTCCCCAAAGTATTGTTTATTGGGACTCACCGCCATTTTATTAACTTCATCTAAGGCTTGAGTTTCGGTTAAATATTTTTTACATCTTTGAGCTATCAAGTTTGAATCAGCAATCGATATTATTTTTTGCAAATCTTGAATTTTTTTTTCCCGATCTTTCTTCCTAGTCTCTATCTTCTTTAGCTTTTGTATTAGATATTGCTCCTCTTCAATCTGAATAAAAATATTTAAACAAAACGTGATTATTAAGCATAAGAAATTTTAGAAAGGCTTTTGTGATTAGAAGTTAGTTTGGCCACTAGCAAATAGATTTTCAGGCCTGGCAAGATACCTTGTAAAATATTTTTATGGGCTAGACCTGAAGTTCACAATTTTTTTAAATCTTACAATTAGGCATCTCTATTTTCCTTCATAAAAATTATTACAAATAGGGCTAGATAACTAGTACAATTTATTTTATGGTCCGGGATTATAAATTTTTTTGGTAATGTTGGTCTATAACAACCTTTACTTGTGAATGCTTGGAATTTATCTTTTCAAAGACAAACTAAAGAGAGATACATATATAAAATATCATGCACTAAATAAATCTTTAGTAATAAAAGGATGTTGTCTAATATGAATATAAAATTTGATAGTGTAAGAGGGGTTTTATTAAAAGTTCAGATATAGGTAAGAGTTAAAATTAAAAGGTTAGAGAGATACAGGTTATTAAAAATAAAAAAAATTACAGATATATGTTCTAGAAATATGGGTTAGCTTTTATATTGCAAAATGGTTTTAAAATCTGGTTGTGCAATGATATGGGCATGATTTGGGCTAGTGGGGTAATATATGAGATGGCTAGGATTAATATTGTTTTTAAAGAAATATTTTTGCTAAAAAAATCTAATATTTAAATTTTTTCTTACATTCATGTTCCTTTATTTATGTAAATATAACTAACATAATATAAAAGGAAAAATTTTTCTAAGACAAAACAAATAACGGTGATAAATAAAAAATTATGATTAAGGCAAAGAAAAGGATAACGATTTTAAAAATGATGCCTAAAAAAATAGTAGAGAGAAGCTAGTGAGAAGAGATAGGTTTTTATTGGGCTTATATGAACTGATGTCTATTTTGTACAAAAAATAAACTATAAAATAAAAATAATTTTCTACTGATTATCAAATTTTTATATAAAAAAAATAATTACGTGTACAAACAAGCATTAATAAATAATATAATCAACAGGTGTTTCACTATCCTATACAACTTAGGGAGATCAAAATAATTTTAAAACATTTTACTTTCAAAATTACATTTAGTTTAAAAAATATTTTCAAATTTTGAGGGAACTTTTCAATTTTTTCAAAGTACCCAAGCCACTGCACCCCCCCCCCCAAGTGACACAATAAAAAATAAGATATATTTTAAAATGGATCAATAAATAAAATAGGCCAACATTTAGAAATATTTTTTTTTATTAATATTTAAAAACCTGTTCAGGAGTTCTATTCCACAAATTATTTAATTGTGTTTTCCGTTTCATTTCATAAGCAGCATCAAATAACCATAAATTAGGCTCAATGCCTATAGGGGCCCGTGCCTCAATACATATTATATTAATATACATATATACATTAAAAACTTTGGCCAAAGCATTGTAAATATCATGATAACGTTTTTTTAAATCTTCAATGCTGTTATGCTTATCACCATATATATTTCTGTCCCATCGATCATTCATCACAATAAAATTTATATTAAATTGCTTGGCTAAATATATCAGATAATTAGTTTCCTTTTGGGTCCAACTTTCACTCACTAAAAATTTGTCATATTCTTCATTTGTAAACACAGGTACATCTGGTGACTTTATATAATATATAAAAAAACAAAGTATAATTATTTAAATACCTTATTAAATTTTGCAAATGGATAAGGTTTGCCAGTATCTATATCTTGTTCTCTTTGCCAGTGAAATAACTTTAAATTATCTTTTCTTTCAGAATGATTAAATGAAGTCCATAACCATTTTCTAACTTTTTTATGCTTATTGACATATATTTTATTAGTCATATATTTTGTAGGTGTCAGATCCGTAATAATAAAAGGAGGCGGCTCCCTATTAATAGTACTGAAAAAAATATATTTGAATAAAATTTACTTGTTATCATTTCTGATTAAGGAGTATAATTCTCTATGCATACCCTCAGGTTTCTTAAATATCCTTCTAGGTTTAATATTCTAATTAAAATAACTTAATATATTTATCTTGTCATAAAATACCTTTTCTGATTTGGCATTAGATAAAATCCCGTTTGTTTTAGCTTCATTATTTTTATCATCTAAATCAGCTTGCATCTAGGATTTATTGAATGAAGTGGTGTTACGCAAAATTTGGAAATATATACAAGGAAATTTATTTCACATCCATTTTCTTATAATTATACAATATATATGGTTTATAACAAATGTGCTATTTATTATCCGAGATATAAAAATATTATCACAAACATTTGAATCCTTTCATAAATAATATTTATGCATCAATAATTATATATTTATAAGAGACTATTCATTCTAAGATGTAAGGAAAAGAGGTAAATTTTTTAATCATCAAAAAATTACAAAATTTTAGTTAAAATGCAATTACAAATGTTAAATATGCCTAGCACTTGCGAATAAGTTTACAAATTCATATTATTATTCTTCACTCTCTGATGCTTCCATATCAAATGTCTTAATAATATATAACTTTCAATCAATAGAAGAGAATGTAATTGCAAAATATATTGCCCACAAATGACATATTTATAAAGATCATCTAAAAATAGACATAATTTGATTCCCGAAAAGGCATGCGCTATGCCCGATATGATAGATAAAAAAAAAGTAGGATTCTTTTAAAACAAATTTTACTTTAAATACGCCACAAATTTTCTTTACCTATTGCTAACATCTAGTCAACACTCCCCATAATAAAAAACGAAAAAAAAGGATTTCCATTCACTTAAGAAAAATCTCCACGTAATTATATTTATTAAGATTATCATTATATTTTCATATATATATTAATGTTTTTTATAATATTTACAAATTCAATTATTCAAAACTTAATTATTATGTAATGTTTATTTTATTTTGTAAAACGATATCAAATAAATAAATACTTGTTAATAAAATAGATGGTTAAAATCAATTTTTTAAAAAATATCTATCTCTTCCTTGTTATTAATACAATAGGTTGTAGTAATCTTTAAAAGTGCTGAATATGATAAAAAGCCTACTATCACAGTAGGAATAGGGGTATAAATTAAAATTTCATTCGCATATATTTGTAGAATCATGCATGGCAAAAAATTTGCCGAAAGAATCATTTTAGCTTGTTTAGTGTTGTAAACTAGAGTAATTTCGAAATTTTTTGGGCATGATCCCAGCCACTTTTTTCAAAATTTATTTTGCCCAAACCTGGTTCAAATTTTTTATAATATTATTGAAAAATAATAAATTAAGCCCATTTTCATATTAAATTTAAAACTTAGTGCTAATCTCAAATAAACTATAATTATCGTTTTATTTTAATAAAAGAAGCGAAAACACTATTTTATTTTTTTCCCTCAAAATTTAGCCGGCCTGACTTTCAGATCTTTGCTATCTTTTTAAAATTTAGATACCGGATACGTATTCATATATATTTTCATTATTAAAGATATTTTCGTATTTTAATGGAATCACTTTTATTTCCTTTTTGTGCACTTATTTTTTTTTTCCCTAAAATTTTGCATTATCCGCGAAGTTCAACGAATTATTTATAAAGGTTTTTTTAAAATTTAATAGTAACTAGTATTTACAAATAACTCAAGAAATATTAATACTATATTTACTTCTTTGATTGAATATCACAATTGTAAAATGTATTTAAAAATAAGAAAAGTTTAAATAAAATAATAATATGGGATATCTACTATTAATTTTCACATCATATTTTGTAATAAATAAAATATAAAAACATAATTAAACTATAGCTGAATATTCAAATTAGACGCATAACATAAAAATTTAGAAATAAATCTTTATTAAAATTTAGGCATCGGGTCACAAGTTGGTCCTTAGATCCAAAAATATAGTTCGGAGGTCTCTAGCGTATAATCTAATTTGGAATGGTTTGCATTTTATTTTGTAGATATCAATTGAGAAGTAGTACAATACACATTTAGTAATAAAGTAATCTCATTTATATTTGAAGAATAAACTCAGAGGTTTAATGGTTATATGATATCTATTATAAATTCTGCTATAAAAGAATACCAATGAGTGACATTATGATAAAATGCCAATTCCTAAATCTTATTTTTTTATTAATTGATGAATTAGTGGACAACTTAGAAGAGGATTGTCTATCAAACGAATATAAAACATTGGATAAATTTCCTGAAATAAAATCTTTAATTCATTAGCAACACGGGGAAATCCAATTTTAGCTTCTCGGGTCGAAGGCGTTTTTAAAATAGCCAATCCAGTTTTAACTTTTTAATTATTATAAAATAAGTACTTTTATTAAATTTTAAAAAATGTCCATAATATTAAAATAAAGGTAAAAAAATCTTATAAACAATTTAAAACAAATATTAAAAAACGTAAAAGAGGTAGGAGGGGGGAGGGGCAAAAAGAGGTTCTCATAAAGATCGCAGGAAACTAAGATAGTTGCTGAGGAACATGGCGATTTCAGCTGATTGTAACTTTAAATTTGAGAAGTTATTTTTCATCCCTAAATTTTAAGATAGCCTAGGGTCCCATTGGCGGAAATAACTATTGGGATAGTTAAAATCTGAAAAATCGTGGTAGTTTCTATTATTTGATCTTTCAGCTGTAATAATCGAATAACTATTTGGGTAGGAGGAAAATTGAGAAACAACTTTTATACAAACATTTTGAAAAACAATGATTAATAAAAAATTAAAATTTTTTTTAAAAAAATAACATAATATAATATATATCTATAAATCATATTTTATATTTTTTGAACATTATATTCTTAATTATACAAAATAAAAATATTAAATCAATGATTTCCATATTGTTAATTATTAAGCATTTCAATTCTATAATTATAATATACTAATATATCCATTTATCTAGACATTGAAATAATTTTTTTATAATTAATTAATATAAAAATAACATTATAAATGACATTTTAGTATAAACCAGAAGTGAGAGAAATTTTTTTTTAAAATTAAACGTGAATTTTTTTTATAAAATAAAATCCTTCATCAGTATACTATTTAATAATATGAGATTTATATATTTAAATTAAATATCTTTGAATGATCGCCGGTACCATAATTTGCTAACTGCTAAGGGAAAATTAATTCTTGACTCCCATAAGAAGATCTAATAATTCATAAAGTAAAAAAAATATATTTTAATATACATGGTTTTATAATTATCATAGGGTTATAAGCCTAACTCCACAGATTAATGTTAAGACCCTAATTTACTATATATAATATATTTAAAATTAGGGAATGTAAAAAAAATTTGGAATAAGCTTTATTTATACTGATCCCCAGATAACATTTTTTTCCCATACCTTTAAAAATTAAAAATAATATCAAATGATTATCAATTGGCTTTTAAAAAGTTGTTTCACAGTACATCTTAAGTTTAAATTTTTCTTAAGGTTAATCACGATAATTGAATAGCATGTGACTTAAAGTTAAATCGTTGATTCAAAGTAAGTTTTAAAAAAAAGAAGAAAGAATAATTAAATATAGACGGTAAATTTTAATACTTATGTATTGACGAAATCGGTTATACATATCCTGAATATGATTTTGATAATAGGTTAAATCAATATTCGCGACGTAAGACTGAAAGAATTCGTATAGATATATGGCTAAATTTTGTAACTGATTTTTTTAAAAAAAATGATTGATTAAAATAAATTCATCGAGATATTATTTTATCTTGATAATGGGAAATAAAAGATAAACTAAGAATTACTGATTGTTAAATGGGCACTCAAGCATTTAAAAAAAATGAGATAAAATCTATACGCTTGGCCTCAACAAGACCAATTTTTCGGAATAAAAACTTTGCTAAATTATCTCGGAATTGGGCAAAGTTTAGTGATTTAGCAACACAACCATTAGAATAGGTTTATTTAGACATATAAAATTAAGCATTATTTTTTTTTTATAAGCATCAAGTTAACAATTTAATGAATTTATTCATAAATCGCATAATTCGGCTGACTCTACAGACGCGTGCCAAAGAAAATCCGCTAAGCACTGAGGCCCGATTTTAATTGATTTCTTCCTTTAAAGTTGAGCTTTATTTTAAAATAAAAAAAATCAAAATCTGATGTGATAGCTCGGCTAAATATAGAGAAAATACCGAATCTTAACAGTCATGAAAAAAAGTTATCGATATCGAATTATTTTAAATTTTATAAAAAATCAAGGAATGAAAAGTTAAAAAAAAAGAAAATAAAACATTACATTTATAAGGTATTTTTCGACCACAATTTTCAAGGTTTCTAGATACGGAGCAGATGCGACTGCAACCTCTTTAGAATATTTTAAAATCGTTTCAGCTGTCTTTTCCGCGTGGGAGTAAATGATTGGGTAATACTTTTCGTAATATTCGGAAATCGTTTTCAAAGTTTTTTGTACGTGAGGGGAAGCAGCTTTATAATAGTGATCGGTATATTTTGAGGTGACTTTGCTCACTTTCTTAACATATTTTTGAATCTCCGGATCCCAATATTTGAAGTAATAAATTTTACCTATTTCGAATTTTCTATTTTTAATTTGGGCGAAAAAAAAAATATAGAATCAAATTGAGGTTAATAAAATAATCTGTTAATCTTAATATGAAATCCTTTTTAAAAAAATCGGTGTCCATTCAGGCCATTATAAGTACTTTATTATAATATATTATAAAGTCGATTTATAATAAATACTTGTGTAATATTTCGATCACATTTAACTCTTATTTACTTATACTCTCTAGCTTTTTTTAAAAGTTACATTGTATCCTTTTCAAAATCTGCCGAAAAAGTGGAATATGGGAATAAAGTGAATTAATTAGAAAAAATGTATTATTTCAATAAAACTTACTTTTTCGCATTTTTGATTCCCATATCAATATAATTGTCCAATCTATCTACTTGATGGCGATAACCATATTCATCGATTTTACGATTCAATTTTAGTACTAAAATATATTATTTTTTTCATAAAAGCAAAAAAATTTACATTTTCATTCTATACAAATTTTTTTTTTTTAAAAACTAAATAAAATGATATCATTTTTATATTATTATATAGAACTTAATGAAGGGTATCACCCCTTTAATAAAAAATAGATAGCTAACAAGATATTGAATTACGAAATTAAAGATTCTCAATATATCACTCGTATTTTATTTTGTCTTCGACAATTCAGTAACATATGATACAAAATTATATTGATTTGAAATTTCGGATAGATAACCTATGGAATTCTCTGGATCGGATCTATTGACGTCATAGTATAAAATGGAAAGACCGATCAGGATGGACAAGATGGAGATAAGTATAAACATTTTCCAGAACCCAAAGCTTTTTTTCTTGGTAATCGACTATTTGAGAGAAGGAGAAAAAAAATATAAATATATTATTGAGTTGTTTCAATTTATTTTGTTGTTGGAAATTATAATTATAAAACTGTATATGGCTAGCCTAAGCTAATTTTGGCTCATTAAGGCACTATATAACCTGTATGCCTTTCAATTGATAATCCTTTTTTTTAAATGAATAAATATCATATTTAAATATTTATTTGTAAATGGGGAAATGGAAGTCATTACCAAAACTAATAACAATGCCTTAAAGGATCATAAGTAACACAAGATAAATGTTAATGATTTATTTGTTAACGCTCCATTTTAAGAGGAGTAGCTCCCGCTACTGAATTTATAAAAGGAACGTGCTTTTTGCAAGGAGATAAAAGTTCACAAAACAAAATCAATTTTTTTAAAAAAAATCTATATATTTTAAGTCAAAGAAAATTTATAATAATTTATCTCCTTTATCTCAGTAGTAAATTTTCTAAATTTGAACCTAGCAGGCAGCCACATCTCTTGTCTAAAACCTGTTTAGCATTACTAAACTTGTATTCAAAAGGAGCAATAGGGGTAAGAGGGGTATTGTATTTAATAATAATGTTTTCAAATGCGTTATAACCAACATATTTATTGTTAAATTGTTTAAAAATTTTTTGTCTAATATATTATCTTCTTGATAATCAATTTGATTGAATCCAAAAAAATCTTCTAAATCATTGAAGGGTATTTTCGGCGTAATTGTTTGCATTTTTGTGTTAGAAAATTTGTTTTCTAATAAAATTAATTTATTTTTTAATTCTCTTATTTTAAATGTAGTAGAATGGATAACTGTAGCAATGATATTACCATCATAAACTGGTGAAAATCAAAAGTTATTTAAAAATATATAATTTATTTTTCAAAAGTTATAAATATTTATCAATGCTGCGTATAGGAGACTATATAAGAAATTGGCAAAACCCCAAATGTGCAAAATCTTTTTTACTTTTGAAGTGAATCTAGATATAGTTGGCTAAAAAAAACCTCAGGTTTTTGCCAAAGGCTCCATAAGCCGAAATATATCCATTTCAAATAACGATTATATAAATATTTTGCTATATTCTCAAATAAATTTAAATTCCTGATAGTTTCAGCGTATAAGTCTTATGTTAACACTAATATAAATGGATTCATAATGTGAATTCCAATGATAATTGGACATATCAAATATCTCTGCTATTTCTAATTATAATATCAATCATATTTATTGTTTATTCATAAAACCTGACACTTTTGAAATGAGCTTTGGTATATAATTTTAACCCTTATATGTTTTTAAAGCTTTCTCCGCATCAAATGTTACCATTAAATTTGGAGACACAAAGTGAATGTTGTGGTAGAAGATCATAATGTATCTGATCTGTTGATCGGTATATAATCGATATCCACAAATTGAAAATCTTCATCCATTTTCAAAACTTTTATGCTCAACATTTCATCTCTTTTTTAAAAAAATATAGTAAGATGGAAATTTTATTTCATTTCAATAAATTCTGTATTTATTAACATAATGATCTTGTCTACCAATGGTTTTCATGTTTTATAATTTAAATTTAAAAAATTGAGAACAAAAAAAAATATAAAAACTTGGTAGTTCAACATTTGATATATGTATTCATAAATTTAAATGATATATCTTTTTTTTATTGTATTTAACAAATACATCAATTAGATATTTTTTAACCATTTATACACAAAAATAAAGGAGCGACAACCGCTCCATCTCAAATAGGAGCTAACTCACCCGCTTCTGTGATTGGAAAATAGCCGCGCTCCTCGATTTACCCAAATTGCATTCAAGCACGTTTAGAATGTCTAGTCTATGAATTTCAGACAATTTAACCGTCAACTTAAAATTATTATGGAGGAAAATTTAAGGAATAATTAATTATAATTTTATTAAGTTCATGATCAAAATTTTTCTAAAAATCACAAGAGTTCGCCATTCTACACATGCTTTAAAAAAACAAGCATAATAACAAATGATTTAAAGTAAAAAAAAAACTCAAAAAGTTATTTTTACTCGACAAAGCTTGATAGAATCCTTATAACCCGAATTTTTATTGGGGGAAAATTTATCGTTCTTGTTGAGAACTTTCACCGTTTTAATCATCGCATTAGTGTCCAAATGTTTGTAGGCCTTGACACGGGACCAGTTTTCGTTTAGGTATCGCAGAAATAGGCTAAATATCGTGGAATAAAAATACGTTATTTGTTGATAAACATTGTTATGAATACAAATAATAAAAAAACCGTATTCGATACATGAATAGTTAATCGCTTCGTTAGCTTTAGTTCGACTTTATGTAACATTTAAAGTTAATAATTAAAATGGCCTACACGAGTCATGATAGCTAAATATTTTCGCGAATCCTCCTTAGCCCACATTTGGAGGTAATCATCCTTTTCGTCCAATCTTATCAGCAGACAAATCATTCAAAATTGGAATTATATGATCATTATTAGGTGCTATATTCATGGATACTTTAAAATCAGCAATATCCTAACAGTCCCAATGCGTCAAGCGGGTAACACACCAACGAAGAAATAATGAGTGAATTTAAAGATATGTTACAGAATGACCAGGAGGAAAATCCAAGGAGTAAGAATCCATATTTAGCGTTCAATATTTTGATATATTTAGTAGTTTATTAGATATTTATGTTGCACTTTATTTCTATATAGTTTGTATTTATATAATTTATGGAAAATTAACGCTTTAATAATGATGGAGGTGTTAATATATTTAAATTATTATATATAAATAGAAATTTTAATCATCATTTTCATTTATATATCATTTGCAATAATTACTGCCACTGGAAGATGTTGCATTTCTCCCTTTACTCGATTGCCAATGATTGCACTGCCTTACCTGCTGTAAATTTCTATATGCTTTAAGGAATAACGTAGGAGGGGTTGGTGAATATGAGGGTATTGATCAAAGTAGAGTAGACCCGGTAAATAACCGTTGTAAGTGTAACATTAATATATGTGCTAATTTTAAAAATAACCATGTACAGCACCAGTAAATGACCATCATATAATTCCAACCAGGGCCGTAGCCAAGAATTTCTAGCAGGGAAGGTAACTGTTTACTTAGGAGGGGGCAAAATTTTTATGCAATAAAACAAATAGTTAGGCACTCATAGAAATTTTTCGCTATTTATATTAAAAATTTGTAAAAGACATATTTTATTTTTAAATTTTAACATTAATGAATAAAAAGTTAAATTCTGTGTTATTTTTTCCCCATAAGCTATTAATACTAAATTTTGTTTACGTCGATCTCTCATCTATTCTCTATTAGTCGATAGAACTCTCTTTAGTGTAAAGAATGTGGCCTCACAAAAAGCCGTTGATACATGATGATGGCTGCTGAGTTACATTTATACAATTATTAAAATACAAGAAGATATTTTTTTATACATAATATTTAACATATTTTCAAAATTAAACTGCTGTAGCCATTAATCCTTTTGTTATTTTCATTTCATGATGTAATGTTTCCATATTTAAGTTTGGTAATGATTCTAATAGGGTCATTTTATCCTATATAAAATAATTAGGGTCAAGGGGGATAATGTGTTAAAACATGATAGAAGATTATAATCATCTTGTGTAAATCGATCTAAAAAACGAACTAAAAAGTAATCAATATTTCATTTATAATGAAATCCAATTGAAGTCCCTTTCACAATCAAGTTGAAATTTGAAGCTATAAGACCAGAGGCTTAGATTGCAGCATGAGTGGAAACCTCGAAGTTAAGAGTTTTATTAGAAAGGTAAAATAATACTTCATCAATAATCCCAAGTGGTTGTAGTTAGTGATGCAAGATCGCTCCAATTTGACTCGATTTTTAAAAACGGCTAATTCAGTTCCCTTAAAATATTTTGCGAGCCTGTAGATTTTGATAGATGACACAAAGGTTTTGGAAACTATTAACGAAATCTTGAAGTGTGGGCTACATTTTTCTGGCTAAAATATTGAGTTAGCCGTTTTTTAAAAATCGGCTTAAAAGGAGCAATTTTGCATCACTAGTTGTAGCAATGGATATAGGGCACTTTTTATTAATTTTTTTGAAGAAGGGTTTGTACTCATCCATTTCAAGACGTAACGTTTGCACCGTCATATACCTACCTTAATATTCAATGAATTAATAAATTCATTAAGTTGCTTTGCTTTAAAATACAATTAGGGGAGACCGGGGTTATATTGTCCATAAAAAATTGAAGTGTTATAAAAAAATAGACAAAGCAATTTTTCTAAAATGTTTAAACGTAATTTTATTCTTTACATATATCTCTACGGTATAAATTAAATTTAAGAAAAAAATCATTTAATTTTTAATTAATAAGAAATTTAAAAAAAATGAAAATTTAAAAAAAATGAAAATTTAAATTTTATGAAAAACACCCGGGGTAGCTATTATCCTTTCACGTTACGTGTCATAGCGCTTCTTTATTTTTAGATTTTTAAAAAAAATTTATATAAAAGTGTTGATTCTAAGTAAATAAAAAAAATAAATTGTCAAATATGTTAAATTTAATCACATACTTGTTGTCACTTAAATCTGTCATATAATTACAAAAAATAAGTCAATCATCTTCATATTGTCACTAGTGGTCCTAGACAAACTAGTGGCTTCTAATGTTTTTATAAATTTAGTTGGATTATTTTTTATTCAAAATAATCCCTGCTTAAATATGGCTAATACGCACCCCGCCAAAACGTGCACCAGGTCTAAACAATTAATTAAAATATAATTTTAAGATATTAAATTACCATAAATGGTGTCAATATTTTTATATATGATAAAATATATATTTCTTTATTATTTAGAATTAATATTAAGTCCAAACAACGTTTGTAAAAAAAGTTATTATGAAAATGTAAAATTTTAAAAAGTTACTTTGGGTGAAATTTATTTTTCATGAGCAATTTTGTCCGAAACATTTTTGGATGTACTTAAGCACCTTATTAATATTACATATTTGGCTTAAACTTTAATAATTTTTAAATTATTCGAGAAGGAAATACTTACCCCGGGAACACACTATCTACGGTCTCCCCTAGTAATAGTTTCAGATGAAGGACATTGTAAATTAATAATTCCTATTAAATTTTCTTGGATTACAAAAAAAATTTACCGAACAAGCTCAGGTAACTTGTTTATTAATCTAAAAATTAAATAAATAATATTTTAATAAAAATTTTGTTGTATTTTCATCTAGATTTAATTGTTGATGGCGAATTAAAATCTAATAACTAAAAAAAAAATTTAATTTGGGGAAAGATATTGGGGGGGGGGCTGCACCAGCGTAGCTTCGGCCCTGATTCCAACGTTGGATAATTTGCTTGCAAAGTACCCAACATTGGACTTTGATGTTGCCTACCTCGAACTGGGGATTCAGAAGGAGTCACAATAATATTTAACCATCGCGACATGTACTCTTTTATACTAGGATGCCGTTTGAATAGTCCATAGCAACTAAGATTTTTCAAAAATTTATAGATTTCAATAATGACAAACGTATATGCATCATCACCAGTGACAAGGACAATAATGATCATCTGCAAATTAGAAATGCATAAAAGTCGAATGGAGCAGAAAAAAAAAATTAAAATGAATAAAAAACAATTTTTTTTACTTATATTTTACTAAATCTACCAATTTATCAACAAAAAATTTTAGTTATGTAAAATTTTAAAAGAAAAAAAAAATATTTCATATCTTTCTTTTATTTATATTTCACAAATACAAACAATATTTTATTCAATTAAAATGTATTGAATATTGTAATTTTAGGTTTATCAGTTAGTAGATAAAATGAAAGGAGACCTGACATATTTATTTGTTATTTAAAAAAATGATTTGCTTCTTTCATAAATTCATAAGACCTCATGTTTATAGTAAGTAACCACAAAAATAGTGCGACATCGTATCGCTTACACAAGTTGCCTGTTGCTAAAAGATAATTCTTAAACGGATCAAGATATAGATAGTAAAAATGTATGTAGATACAGATACATTTTTATAGAAGTAACATTTTTATAGTAAAAACTCTGCAAATACCAATGTTAAATTATACAGTTGTGCTACCGTTTAGACATGAATTACATATAGTTTAACCATTATCGTTGTCACTATAATCGAAGCCTAAGTGAAGTAATTTTTTTACATAAATTACATTTTTAGCTGCTCAAAAAATTGACATTGTTCAGGGCTGAGTTTATTATATATTTTTTATTCAGTCAAGAAATTAAATATTCTAAAAATTCAACAAAAATAAAAATATCAAATGATTAATATAAGCAATTACTTGGATTGTTGAAGGAATTTAGGGTGCAAAGTTTCCCATGTTGCCATACAATTTTTATCCAGAGTAAAACACGTGATCATATACTCAGCAAGCTTGATACATTTAAGAAAAAGATTTAATATTTAAAGAATAAATTAGTTTAAAAATTTCTCTTTTTATAGTTAAAAACATTAGCATCATAATAAATAATTAACATATTATCCTTATGCTCTGTTAAATAAATACTTAATAATTTTACTTCATTTCTCAGGAATATTGTTTGTCCCTTATCGTCGTACGCGACACGTTGAGCGTTATTCTCGGTTAATCTGGATAAAGAACAGGTCAAATAAGATTTCATTTCTCGTTTCGTAGATTGATTCATCGCGATTTCCTGAAAAAAAAAATTTTGGTTTTTGTTTTAAAAAAGCTATATATAAAATGATGTATTTTTTTTGTGTTTAAAATCTTTATTTTCAAATTCAATAATGTTTTTCTAGAGCTAAAGTCCTAATGATCCGGTTGACTGTTACTGGAACAAACAAAAAATTATTTAGGTGGCTAAAATCTTTGGTCTTTATATTTTCTGTTCTCATGATGGAGTTGACAAAAATAACATCTACACAGGCATAATCCCAAGCGAGGAGTAAACCTTGGTTTCAGGTGACTAGGGTCATCTCATCCGGCCTGGTTCAAGGCCGAGGCAAGAGGGTTCCAGCATATTAGATTAATAAAAATATTTTTAAAAAACCTTTTAAATAATATCACTGTCATAGTTAGGGTAATATAGAGTGATTATGACCCAATTGGCATTACAACAGCTGATATAAATTTATATTCGTCTATTTATATCACATGGCCTGTCAGATTTTTAATAATTAGAAATAAATGGTGATACGCGTTGACTCCTTACCCCTATACCATGGGCTAATACTTTCGCTGGGTTTACAATACCAATAAAATATTATTGACATAATCATCATAATTTTAAAAGAGTGGTATAAGTTGGATGATTGTCCTTGTTCATTTTAATATGAAAAAAACAGAGTGAGCATTATTAAAGTTTTGATCATTTAAAAAATAATTTGAATATATTTTGGTAGATAAAAAAAATTTTGTTATCACAGATACTATACTTATATAATAAATGTACATAAAGAGATAGAGATAATATGTAATCATTTTTAAAGTAATCGGTAAATTCATAAACAAAAATATACCACCACTTACTAAATTAGACATTTTAAGGCAATACTTCTTTTTAGTATTACTCACAAAATAATGTTGAAAAAAAGAAACTAGCATATTTTTAAATACTAATTTTGAAAATAATTTAATGTTAAAATAAAATTAAAAAATTTCTATGAAATTAAGTTTTTTTTTTTTCAATAAAAAATAATTATGAAGTAAAAGGGAAATTATTTCTTTAATTAAAGTAGGTTGCGATACTTTTGAAATAATGTAAATAGTAAATAAAATTAGTTATAGAGAGAATGTAAATTACTTTTTAAAAGTAACTCGGAGCAACATTAATAACATTTCAAGACAATTTATTACTGTAAAGAAAAATATTTGGTTAATTTTAAAAAAAAAACATAAGATTGCATAATATTTTTTTTTCAATCGTTATTTAAATGCTTATAGGTGGCACAGAGGTTTGGATATCTATTGGTTAAATTTCAAGGCTTATGTAATATATTTTCTGGCTAAAATAATGACTTAGGCTAGAATCAAATCACGTCATAGTTTGGACTAGGGCTTAATTTTTTTTAAAGAATCGGGTTCGGGCCGGGCCTTGAAATTTTTTTAAAATATATCTAAATTTATCAATTTTATATTAAATTTTTTATGTAAAATAAAAATATTTGATTTTATTTATAGAAACTATGTCTTTTATTTTCAGTAATTATAAAATTTAATTTATATATTTAAATAAATTCGGGCCGGGTCGGGCCGGTAAATTTTATTTAAAAAAATCTCGGGCCGGGCCGGGTTTGAAAAATTAGTGGACATTTATTAGCGTAATGAGGTTTACGCATATGATTTTGTTATTAATAATCGGCTACCAACCGTTTAACGGAAAACAATCAGATGAAGACTATTGGCAAGATATTTTTGTATACCGGTTTATTCAACAAGCAGAGAACAACTTCCGAGTGCCAACGAATTTAGATACAATATAATAAAATTTAAATGTTCATATTAAATAAAACGTAAAGATATATTTTTAAGAACGATTAATTCAAAATTGACCTGGGGTTCGATTTATAGGCTAGAATAAGATATAATATAAACACTTAAAAAACATAAAATAAACAAAATATTTAATAACTTTAATTTTCGGATATAAGGCTAAAAAACGACGTCTATACTCTTCTTTGAGATGAGATGGAGCCAGGAATACAGAATCGAATATGTCAAAAAATTGTTTGTAATTAATGCTGCCATATAATTTTGTGAGATTTATTTGTGGCTGGCTAAAAAAAAAATTTTTTCAAATCATTTTTAAGAATAATTAATTTACTAAATTGCCTTTAAAAATTCATTTCATTTTCTAAACTTTTATACATTACATATCAATGATGTACATATTTATTATGGCGATTCATTCATTAGCTGCATTTAAAAGTGTCCATATCTAGGAGTCAAATGTAGCGCCATTTTGTGGTTTACACTTCGATTAAATGATATTAAATGTGCTTTCGTATAATGATAAATAAAGGCAATTGGTCGAAGTGTACACCATAAATGGTGCTACAACTGACTACTTGTGGACATTTTTAATTAATAAATCATCAATCTATTGGTATATTATATACATCATTGGCCCTAATATAGAATAACGTAATTTTATAGACACAGAGTCCATTTTTAGTTTAATATGAATAGATAGTGAAAAATAAAATTGTTCTAATTCAAATTATTTGAAATTCCCGGTTAGGAATACAAAAGTACATCAAAATTTTATATACATACATCACCGCATATTAGCACTAACTGTGAATGCAGTGTTAAAAGCATGAATGACCTGGAGCAAGAATAAAAGTCTAGGTGAGGTTTCCTTGGACCCCGATTTAGATGCTATATCTTAGAATTAATTTGCAGCTTTCATATTTAAATATATATTAAATAAACTTTAATAAAATAACTTTAACTGTTATTTTAATGCTTTCACCAAGAGGGTCAAAAAAGTGACAAATTATTTTTAAATGTCACAATATGATATAAGAATATACAAAAATAAAATTGATGATGTAGAATGTTTATCTAGGTCTCAAATATTAATATAGTATAATTTTTAATTAATAAAAATTATGTATAAAAAAGTGTTATTTATGCTTTGTTAAACTAGTATAGAAAAAGTTACATGGATGGTTAGGGGAGGTCTATGCAGATCCCCAAGCCCCAAAAAAACCTTATAAGCACCCAAAAAACCTTATAAGCCCCAAAAAACCTTATAACTCATGAACTACAGAACCAAATCAAAATTAATTTTGAACATATATACTCTAAAAATATACAAAGTTCTAGACAAAAATAAAGAAATAATTTCATGTAATATTGTTTTTAAATGACTGAGTTGCATAACCCGTTATGAAAGATAAATAAAATAGATCATGGAATAAATTTAAAAAAATGACTACTATAAATGAAGATTAATAAATTTGTAATTTTTTTTTCTCTTTAGCTTTCGCCTTTTCAGGTGGTAAGCTCCTTCAACATCTCTCTCCACTTTATGTTATTCATACAATCTCTTTTATCTAATATATACTTCTTCATATTGCTCTAAATTTATCGCCCCATTGAAGTTTTGGCCTTTCTCTTTTACGTTTGCCCATCACTTCCAAACTCTCAACCTTATTTCCTATGTAGTTCATAGGCCTTCTCATTGTGTGCACATACCACCTAAGTCTGTTTACCATACCTTTACCATTAACTTAGTCTTAATGGGCACTACCTTTAAACTACTTAGTATTCTTGTACTGTACACTTTATCCTTTCTTGTTACCCCAGGAATCATCCTCAGCATTCTCATCTCCATAGTTTGTAGATTTCTCTCGTCTGATTCTTTGGTTAGCCATGTTTCCGAACTATATAGAATAGTTGGTTGTACTATGAAACTGTAAATTTTTCCCTTTAATTTGTGTGGGATTCTTTTGTCAAATAGCACTCCAGATAAAGATCTCCACTTTAACCACCCTTGATTAATTTTACTCTTTATCTCTTATTCTATCATGCCGTTTGTTTGTATAGTGGAGCTAAAATATTTGCAGCTTTTAATTGCCTGTTATGTTCTACCTCCCCCCCCTCTTGTCCCGTATAACTTATTTCTTTAAGTTTTTCTCCACTTGTTTCTTTTGTTTTTCCCATCGTCCTTTTTTTTTATATTGATATTATACCTTATTTTTATATTGTATTTGAAACTGGTTCTGACCAGTTTCAAGAATGATTGTATCGCGATATTATATAACAACATTTATTTTTTTTTCTTTGTTTGATAAATTATAAAAGGTTGCAAAAATACCTTTATTGGGGATTCTTTTTTTAAAATTATTTTAGGGAATATTTTTTGTGTTAAATAAAATTCTTAGAGTTTTATTCTTTGGTAAATTGTGATATTTTAACAATAAATTAAATTACTAACATTACCCGATGATGACTAAGTTAAAACTCAACGTCAACCTACTAGAAAATCCCGGTCCCTCGAATTCTGCCGATCCCTCTCCCTATCCGCCGGTAGAACAGCCAGCGGTCGTGGCCACGAACATATCCTTGCCGATATCTGCCATTCATTTATATCAATACTCTGTTTCATCTCCTCCTATCACCATATACTCCGTCTTTTCTCTATTTACTTTTAGTCCATGTTTTTCTAGAATATTTATCCAACTCACTAATCATTCTTTCATTTCATTCTTGGATTCGGCAAGTATCACAATATCATCTGCAAATATCTATTCCACGGGACTGTTTGAGGTATAGACTGTGCTAATTGATGAACTCCTTCGGCTATTGTGAAGCCTGCTGAAGTACCTGTTGTGCTACGGACCATTGTTGTATGACCCATATTACATATCCTGTATTATTCTTATATATTTTTCGGGAACCTTTTTGTGGCGTAGCACCCACCAGATAAGTTTTCTTGGGATTCTATCAAAGGCCTTTTCTAGATCGAGAAAGACCATGTGTAGCTTTTTGTTCTTTTCCCTGTATTTTTCACTCATTTGCCTAATTGTGTGGATAGCATCAGTTGTTGATCTTCCAGGCATAAAGCCAAACTGAGTCTCTCTTATTTCGATTATGTCTCTTAATCTTTTTTCTATTATTTTATCGTATAGTTTTAGACAGTGTGACATTAGTTTTACCTGTAATTTTGACAATTGTGTGGATCCCCTTTATTTTTGAAGATAGGAACTAGATAGCTCTGCCTCCATTTTGGGGCAACCTCTTCATTTCCAAGTATTTTATTGTACAAATTTGTGAGGAGATGTATTCCACCATCTCCTAATGCTTTAAGGCTTTCTATTGGAATATCGTTTGGACCCCTAGCTTTGTTGTTTTTCATATGTTTGAGGCATGTGATTATTTTTTGTTAGTGTTCGTCAAGATGTAGTATGCGGGGATTAAAGTTGAGAAGCTCCTGAAATTATTCTTTCTATCTATTCATTATTTCTTTTTCCTTTATTATCAATTTCCCATCTTTATTCTTGATTACTTTCGGAGCTCCATTTATATCCCTAGAATTCTTTTCTCGCTGTTTGGCTAATCTGTATATTTTATTTTACCCTTGGATTTTTTGTATCTAGTCTTGTCATCTGGGTTTTTGGATTTGTACCATATTTTATAAAGGGCTTTTTCCTCCTGTATAATGGTTTTTACCTCTTCATTCCATTTCCATAGTTCTTTGTATGATTTGTTACCTCCCCTTGTCAACTAGTGTCTATTAATCTGGATGAAAGGTCTGTCCACATTTTTTCACTGACTTGTGAGGAATCTATTGTTTCAATGTTTGCATTGATTGCAAAGGCATCTTTCATTGTTTTTAATTTGCCCCATTTGATGCATGGTTCCAATTTTATCTTGTTTTGAGTGGATTTATTTGAGATGTGTAAATCCATGACTAGTAGATAGTGTTGCGCGGCGATATCTTCTCCTGGGATGACTTTGCAGTCTATTACAACTTTTAATCTTCTGCGAGAGATTAGCATGTAATCTATCTGTGCTTTCCTTGTACCACTTATATGTTATTAATTTCCTATAGTAGGTGTTGGTTAAGGCAAGGTCAAAGCCTTGCACAAATTTCAGTACATGCTCTCCTTCATCATTCTTTCTCCATATCCAAACCACCATGATGCCTTTTGTAGCTATCTCTTGCTTTCCCCACATGCACATTTAAGTCACCACCAATTATGACTAGGTCATCCTTAGGGATTTCCATTACAGCTTCATCAAGGATAGCTCTAAAGTCATCTTTCTCTTCTTCCTTGCAATGCATTTGAGGAGCACATACTGAAAGGATGTGTAGTATTGATTGACCAATGCAGAATTTTATCTTCATTAGTCTATCAGAGATTCTGTTGACTTCTACTACTGAGGAAGTTAGATCTTGACTGAGGATGATGCCGACACCATTCCCCTTGCTAACAATTCCATTGTACAATTTACACCCATCTCCAATCATCAAAGTCTTCTGTCCTTTCCATTTTGTCTCTTGTATGCACGCTATATCAACTTTTCTCTTGTTCAACATTGATGCCAACTCTCTTGTCTTACCTTTAAACATCCCAATTTTCAAACTTGCTAATCTTGTCTTCTTTGCTTTGACCTTTATTTTACTTTACACAGGATGGAGGTCTACACCTTGTGTGGCTTGAAGAGAACACCTAGCTTTCATATTCATATTTGTTTCCTTCATTTTGTTTATTGGACAGGTATCCTTAGCACCCAACTATCCAGGTCTGTTGGTGACTGGGGTGTCATCTCTAAGCTCCCAAATTCATCTTACCATATGTCTTTACACATCCTTACCAGATTTGAACGCGTCCTTCTTCATCCTTCTGTTTCTAAGCATACATCTAACCCATTAGGCCACCCCGGCGATTGTAATTATAAATTTATAAGCCAATAAATTTATAAAAATTTTTGCAACAATGTTATAATAAATTCAATAACATTGGCCCTGATAGTCCCTTTCTAACATGTTTATCTTTAAAGGATCTGCAATCTGACTAATAGAATATGGGTTTACTCAGATTACCCAAATTTAATTTGAGCACATTTAAATTAAAAAAATTTCATAAGATTAAATGTATATTTTAAGAAATAAATATCACCTCTAATAATAGTAGATTTTTTTTTAAATATATATTTTTTTTAAAAATTGTGTAATTACTTTAATATATCTTCACCATATTTGATTATGTATTTTACCAAATTAGGACAATTTATAAATGGAAGCATCATTTCAATCCACACTAATATATAATAGCCAAGATAATATATTTTTTTAAATTAATAAACCTTGAAAAGCTGGTAATAAATGACTAGCATCTATTTGACATATAGTCCAAAATATTGAGAGACATATTTGGGGTTTGTTTTGATTTGCTTTAATTAGTCCAATAATCTTTAAAGCATGTTTGAACATAAATATAATCAGTCTGATAATATACTTTTAATTTATTATTCATTATAATTTCTGGTCTATAAAATATTATAGCTTGGACTAATAGTTTATAACCATGCATTACATTTTCTATATAAAAAAAAATTAAAACATAGTTGTAAATTATATTATTTATAAATACTTCATTTGTATAAAATATATTAACTAACCTTTATTTGACTCGTTAATTATCATGGAATAAAAAGTATTCAAAAACAATTCCAAGTCTTCATGTTTACAGTTTTGAGCAATGTTAGATAACTTTTGTTTGCATGGAAATTCTGAATAAGGAAATCCTAATGAAAACTAGCTTGGACAAAAATATCAATATATTATATACCATCTGGAAACTCTGAATAAGTTATTGAAGTAATTTGAGGAACTTCCAATTTCTTAGATAAATATGATGCAATATCTTTTAACCAAATTATTGGATTATTAGGAAAAATATCTGTTACATTTTCATAAACTTGAGTTAATTCTGTGCAACTAATCTTAAGTAGTTTATTAATTTTTTATTAAGGATTATTATTTTTTAAACTTTTGTTAAGGCTTCCCTTAAAGTTTTAGGAAATGCCTGAGGTGTGGAAAATGTTTTTTTGCTATCTATTTTAGAGGCCTTTTTTATACTGGGCTCTTTTTCTTTCTCAAGCAATCCCATTTTTTTGGCATTGTCAATTTTATTTTGTTTGTCATTGAATCCTTCATACATAGTTTTGTTTGTTTCAATAGATTCTTTAAAATTATGAATACATATAAATAATTAATGATTTCATACTATCAGTAATAATTTTTTTCTTATCTATGTCTTTACCGTATCCATTCGCTACAACTGACTTAGATTTATTTTTCTTGCCTGCAACTTCCCAATTATCCATAGAGTATTTTACCTAAACGTGTTACTCGTTTAATATAAAATGAACGAATGAATATAAAAAAAATTTCATCCTGAATAATTATAATTAGGAAAAAGGATAATGAAAGATTATATATTCATAAAAAGCATCTATTAATACTTGGGTATAATTGTTATATATTATTTTCAATTTTATATCAAAATGGTAAAATTACACTAAATAATTTGTACCTCGCAGTATTCACTATATTATACTTGTTTTCACCATAATATATTTTTTTTAAATCAATTATAAATATAATATACATATTTTTTCATATTACAAAAATTTATTATTTATAAGTTTAATTTCCAAAAAATATCTCTTCACCCATCCATATGAATAAATTTTCTGATTATGATTATCTCGCTCCAGATGAATATTCTGAGGAAGAATCTTCAATAAGGTATAGTCTAGCGTTAAAAATCTCCATGTTTATTTTATTATACAGTTCTAACGATGAATTACCGGATATTGATATTTATTTACATAATAAATATGGTACACGTCATTTTAAAAAGTCAAATGAAAGCTTAGACGAAATTAGTGCTAAGGACTTTGAGGAGACTTTAAATGATGAGCTCGAAATTATGTGCCGCGATTACGAATCAAATTTAATTAAGACTAATGTTAAAGGTTTATTGATAAATTATTATATTTTATATCCTTATCTGCTAGATAATAATGACAATACAGAAGAATCAATACCTCCAGATCCATTTTATGACCCAAATAGCGATGACGAAAATCAAAAATGGGTTGATGATCTTAGAAAATCTTATCGATATAAATCAAAAACAGGAAAAGAAACACCTTTATCAAACTCAGATGCTGTTTTAAATTGTCCTTGTTGTATGAGTTTATTATGCTTGGATTGTCAACGGTTAGTATCATATCATTTATATAATTATTATTTAAAATATTGAACTTTAAGGCACCAAATGTATAAAACTCAATATCGAGCAATGTTTGTTCTGAATTGTGAAATAGATGAATCAAAGAATATTTACTACCCTGTCAAATTATCTTCCCAAAACAATAAAGATATTAAACGATTAAGAAAGAATGTCGAAGAAGCTACCAATATTTCTACTGCTATAAATGCTGATGTTACTTCTATTGACCAAGATGTTTATAAATGTGTCTTATGCAGTATATGTAAAACAGAAGTAGGTGTTTATGATCTTGATGAAATATATCATTTTCATAATGTATTATCTAGTTATTCATAAAATAATATATTTAATATTTTAAATCTAATAAAGTATATATTTTTTAAAAATTGTTTGTCTAAATTTGTTAAAATAGAAATAATGTTGAAACCAGGCTTGAATATCAAATCCTGATCTTTAAAAAATAGCATCACACTTCTGGTTCAGGATTGTCAGAATTTCTAACAACCTGTAACTAATTTCCATAAAATCTCTCCTAATAAATTTCCAAAATCCAATCTCCCACATTGAGAAAATCCATAGTTGAGTATTTCACTGTTTATAAACACCTCTGATGGACACAAAATTTGTCAAAAAAAAGACATTTCTCCATTTCAGAAATCACTATCTGAAGCTAATATTCTAATGCAACACAAATTTTATGAATCCTTTTCTTAACACATCTCGTAGCAGCATCATTAAGATTTTTTGCATAAGTTGTCTAGCCCATTATTTAAATGTTTGTCCATCCTGATTAAAAATTTTATATTATTCCTAGCATTGCCCATTAAAATTATACAAAAAATCTGACTTGACTCATTATAATCTTAATAAAATTCAAGTTTGGCCTGTTAAAAATTTACAAAAAAACCAACATGTCTTCTCCAAGGGTGAGCCTTTTTTCAGAGAAAACCCTGACCAGAGGTGATTAAAGAAAACCCTGAGATGATAAGTTGTTATGTGTTAAATGGCCCAATTATGATTTTACCCTAAATAATATTATGTAAGCCTGGAGATTTTGCTCATAGATGGCAGAAAGGTTTGGACCTCTATTCGAGGTTTATATAATATTATTGTCTAAAATCTTAATCTGGCCAATTTTAAAAATCAAGCATTTAATAACACTAGCTGGTTGGTTAAAATGATTGCTTAATCCTTTTTTGGTAAAATGAATCTAACCAATCTAACCCTGCCATGTTTTTAACACATATGTTGATTTAAAAATTTTGGAAGATCTTAACTTTTTCAGGCATATTAGTATAGATTGGAAACCATTACAAAATTGAAACCATTCAAAGTATCAAAATTTATTATATTTTAATTATTTTAATTTGTTACAAAATTTATGTTATATATGTATATATGTTTAAATTTGGCCTTTCCTGATCCACAAATATTTCACTGATTCGATATTTTCCAATAGTATGATAAAACGACCCTATATTTATATTGATTTATATTTAAAGCAATGCTATAAAAAGATCAATATTTTCAATTAAAAAAAAGACCAACTGAACCCTCACAAATGATTAAAGCATATTTAGGTTTTTATAATTCTCCAAAAAGTTAATCATCTCATATTTAAAATATATGGGCAATGTTTATGGTTGAATATAGTTTTTTTTTTGAACGATAACAACTCACATGGATTTTTTTTAATTGGATTAAATTGTATTTAGTTAAACAAGTATGGATGTTTAAAGATTTGAAAGAAATGGTTTAGGGCTAATTAAAGGTTAGAGCGATATGAGTTAGGGTTAGCTTTTTTTATTAATAACTATGCGACTTGAAACAATAATATCTTTGAGTTGGAAATGATATTGTTTAACATTATCCGATTTTTTAAAAAAGTGCTATATCAAGATTTTCGCCAAAATATTATTACCTACACTTCGAAATATCGCAAGTATGTTTAAACCTTTTTGTCATGTCGCCATTTTTTATAGCATTTATACTTAGATCCTAGCTTTAGATTTCTGCCTGTTTTTTTACTGCTTGAAAAATATTAATGAGGGCGGATAAAAATTGGCTGATAAAATTTTATGTTTTTGATTTTAACTAATTAAAATCGATATAATCAAATTAGTAATATTTTGACAAACTAAAATAAAAATTAAATTTTTAAAATATACTGTCCTGAATATTTCTTTATTAATATTTTTTGGAAATCAGTAGGGAGTAGAATGCCATTGATAACGGTAGGAAATCTCTGAATGGGTCGAGCCCTCAGAAACATCCCGAAATCTAGTTAGCCTTGTAAATGTTAATTTATGAGACACAAAATTTAATCTCAATTTTGCTCCTTTCATTTATTATACCTACTAAAAAAAATATCACAATAAATAAGGTAAAATAATTATTTTGTATATACACAAAAAAATCAAGAATATATCAAACATAAAATAAAAAGGCCCAAACAATGTAATTTCATCAAAATATGTGTTCGTTTTCTTCTACTAAATAGTCAACTATTATTTCCAATTTTATTCTGAACAACCATTATATTAATTTTATTCCCTCTCTTTTGTCCTGGGATCTTCCTCGACGCCCTATTCAATACTAATTAACAAACAATATATACTAACCACAAATTCTATAACAAATACAAAGTGTTTTTTGAAGGTTACAATGTCGTTCATGTTTATTTTAACGGTATTCTGGGCTTTCTATTTATATGTGCAAACAGTAGTCATTTAAAAAAACTGGCTTATTTATGCTTTATTACCTCAGAGTTTTTTCTCCTCAATTACAAATTCATTCCGGCTATAATTTTTAAGGGAATTGGTATAATATAACTTGGTATATAGATAATAATTTAAATTTTTAACAATATTCTAAAATTTATATCATATTAAGCTATTACTTAATTAGTCCTACACAAGTTGCTCACCTCCTAAGTCAAAATTCCTGGATAAGGTATCTATTAATACACTCTAATCCTATTAGTCGAAATCTTAAATCTTAGAATTTTTGTAGTATTAGGAATTCTCCTAATTAAACCTAATCACTGTTTCTTAGGGGTCAATATTTAGATTTTAAAAAACGTTAGGTTATATTTTCAATAAATTAATTTTATAATGACTTCATACTAATTGCTATAAGTATACTCGATACAAAATTTATCAAGTTTTAATAGTTGAGTAATGACTAAATTTCGGCTCAATCTTCAGGCGCCTGCAGGAGAAAATCCCTTATTAATAAGGTGTTTTAATGTATATTAGTTTCTTCCAAATTGGAGTAGCTATCTTTTTAGGGAAAAACCCCGAGGCTAAAGTGATATTTTTCCGCTAAAAACATGATTTAGCTAAAAATATAGTAATTACCCAACTATAGTTCTTAAAGGATATTATAACTTAATTCATATTTGATGAGACATGATTTTATATACATAAAAATAATTAAAAAATTTTATACATACATTTGATTTTTTTTACATAGTAAAAATAATAATATTGCAGTCCACAAATTTAAAATTTCGAGAATTTAATAATGAACAAATCAATTGATCATTAATGACTTAGATTTACTTAAATAAGTTTATTCTTGATGTTCTGCTTCATGTGTGTGTATATCAAATAGTTTTGCCAATTTGTCCAAATCAGGACTTTTCGTTTGTAACATTATTAACTTTATTTTAAATATTTTAAAAAAATAAGTATAGTACCGTTATTTATAATATATTTATTTAAATAAGGTGTTATAAGGTCCTTGAGAGATTTTTTAAAAAAACTTGTATTTTGCAAACAAAAACGATTTTTTAAAATCCCTAATTCTTTCAATTTCACCTTGCTTAATTATTTTTAAAAAACCTTTTTAGCTACATCCATTTGTCCGAACAGGTTTATCGTTAAAACACCGACTATAATATCGTCCTTAATATAAAATAATACGCCCTTTTTGAATTTATTCGATGGTTGAGTAATATGAGCCGTCGTTTTCTTAGTATTTTTTTTTAAATAATTTATTTAAATAAATCAAATGATGATTTAATTATTAAAATTAACTTCAAAATCTAAAAACAAAAAAATTTGCAAGAAAAATTGACACTATATAGAAATTGATTTTTTTATGGTCTCGAATATATTTATAATGCAATTGTTATCTTCTATTTTTTGTTATAAATTGAGTAAATTCATAGTGGACGCCATTCAGCAGGTGATCGATTTTAATCACATCAATTGTATTTATATGCATAGATTTCTATCATGATAAGAATTAAAGCTTAAAATCAATAAAAGAGAAATTGAATCTCGTCGAAAGATTTAATAAAATCGATCAGCTGTTAAAGCGTGGTATCGCATCCCCTATGTATTCAGCTTTAGAGGATTTTACTAAATTTTGAGCAACAGCCGAATCGTCTACATTTTTAACGGGGTCTTCATGGGCATAAAATGAAAAGGTGTTCAATGATGAATCTATCGTTCCAACTCCCTCTATCCCTAAGTCGGATCCTAAGTCAGACCTTTCGTAAACATTTATATATTTTTTTAAACATCATTTTGCGATTATAATTAAAATCTTAAATATCAATTGATGCTCCAGCCATAATTGTATTATTAAAAATTCTTTGCAAAATAAGCTAAAATTAGTTATTTCTCTCATAGGTTGACCACAAATTGATTGCACCTTATCAAAGTTTCGGTTTTAGTAAATCTATCAAGTCCTGTTCTCCAGAATCTAAGCGCTATTGCTTGAGTAACCTTTTTATGGTTGAAAAGAGTTGTCTTTAGGACAGGTACAATTTAAGCAAATTATATAAATCCATTCACAAGTCGCAAATTATAAAGAAAATATTATTATTTTTTTAAAAAAACCAAAATGTGTGAAGTAAATGATTGAATTCCTTCTTCGATCCAGTCATATTAAAACCGGCTAATTGACCTGAGTTTATCGCGTTATCGTAATGCTCACTTCTAGCCAATTTTTGATCAGAAATTTGAACGGCCATCACATCTCCAGCCTTTGAAAAATTGTAAAATCATTGTTGGTCAAAATTTATTGATAAACAGATTATTTCAATAGCATCTAGGTTTAAGTTGATTAAGGAGGAAAGTGTCATATTGCTGCAATTACAACGGCAATAAATACGATATAAGCGTCAATCCAGTTAAATCTAATATTAATCGTAGTAATTTATGATTCGAAATTTACTACTGGGATCCGAAATAAAGAAAACTTTATTCGGGTTTGAATAAACCTATAAACATGTATAATTCTGAAGAAGAAAAAAGCAGGTTATAAAATATGATAAAGATCACAAACTGAATAATAAAGCTTACAGCCCATATGTTATCCTTATATTTTAGTGTTTTATCAACGACAAGACAACTTTTTAGATCAGCTCGCTTTTGATTTTCTTGTATGAAGCCGATGTTGGGATTAATTCCAATAGCCACTATGAGATGGTCGGTAGTTAACTGTAAAAAATATGTTTAGTATATAGAAGTATTGTATTCATAAAAATGTTTAATTTATTCCTATCTATAAAATAAGATTATTCAGGATAGGTGATGGGGTAATAATATGGCTTTCTAAATATCAACTCTTTTCAAAATAGTGAATCTTTTTTTAAAAAATATGTCTTTAAAACATTAAAACAATTTTTATCATAATGAAATATAAGATGAGACGTTTAAAACAAAGATATCCATAGTTTATTGTCGCTAATAGAATATAATAAGTTAATGTTATACACACATTAAATATAAAAAATGTTAGGTAATGATTAAAAATATTATTCTTTTTAAAAAAAAACTTTCGTTCCGTTGGATAGATGTAATATCAACTCACGCTTTTCGTTTGTTTTTACACTTGTGATCGTAGAATTTCGAATAATATTGATTCCACCTTGAATTTAATATAACAAAGTAAAATTGAACGTGGTAAAAAAAAATTATAGTAATAATAATTAGAAGGAATAAAATAGTGATATGGCATGTTTGGAGTAGAGGTGTGCAGTGGGCGGTCAGCTAGGGCAAATCCGTAGAAATTTTTAACGTTTTTATGGCCCAACTAATAATAGTTTGCACAAGCTGTTCGGTTCGGCGCGAAAATTTTTATACCAGGCCTACAGTCTTCAGGCCGGCTTTTAAACGAGTCATAACAAAAATTGATCATATGGCAATTTTATCTTAAAAAATATAGCCATAATTATCCCCAAGTGTTTTTCTCACGGAAGAATCAGAAGCTTTCACAAACAAATTTTCAAGCAAATCAAATAAAACAATCTTAAGTTTTTTCCCCATGTTGAATCAACATATCAGGGATATCAAAAATCCAAATTTACAGACTATCGGAGATAAAAATAAGAGGCCTGGTCCGTGTTTGAGCAAAATTATTTTCGGGTCGAAAGTGAGCAAAGTGTAAAAAATATTTTTACGGAATTCACAAAATTCAAGCTAAGTGTTTAGAAAATTTATGTCATTTTCTCCGTAAAAAATTTTCACGGGCCAATAAAAAACTTCTCAAAAATGTCACATATCCCGCAAATTTAAACACAAACATTTTGATAAAATAAATAGTAATACTATTAAGGCGATGACCTAAATATATTGTTAATATCCTCAAATTTTATAAACTTTATAAAACATGATTAAAATCTTCCATTAAAAAATTTTGAGAGTTATACCTACAAAATTATTATTATACTTACCATTTATTTTAAATACTTCCCAATATAGCTGCACATTTCTTATTATAATTTGAAAAATATAAATTAATATTACTTACTTTTTTAGTAAAAATTTCACAACTTTATACATTTTAAAGCTAAAATTTATTAATTTCTTGAATTTTAAAAATTAATAAATTTTCGTAATTCGAAAAAAAAATATTAGACCACTAATTTATTTTACAATACAAATAGCTTATTTTCCCTTTTTCCGATAAAATTAATAAATTTTATTTTTGATATTTAGATCACGGTCTAAACTAAACAATCAGGATAGTAAGCAAACTATCATTATCTAGGTTAACCAATATCGGGATGGAATCATTCAACCGAGCATTAAAAGACAAAAAAATAGATGGTAAAGTTTTGGACTGAGGAAAAAGTAAAAAAGATGAGTTAAAATATATTAACTAGCAATAGTTATTGTGTAATAATTAAGGATAGAAATCTTTGCGATTTTAAGGTTGGTTCTAAATTATTATATAAAGTAGGAATCCACCCCGAACCCTATTTCTTTGCTATTATGTTTCTGATCCTTTTTATAGTGTTCCATTCGGTTCATTCGGGTTCTAACGACCGGTTATAAAAAAACAAAATGTTTTAATTTGTAACTATAATAAATAAATCTTGATTACTTTCAAATAAAATAAATTATTCGGGATTTACTAGTAAAACGATAAAGATAATTTTAATACGCAAAACGCTGGAAATATTCAAGCGATATTTTGCAACACTGAATTTTCGGATTACTATTAACATTTATGAGCTTGAGGGCTATGGTACTTGAGCTTCGTTTAAAATAACGATATAGGCCTCACTTACAAAATGCACAATGTTCTCTGCTATCGTTTAGCCATTTACCATCATCGCATATGGCTAAACGATAGCATAGCTGATGCTTTAACATTAATGTATTTGAGCGCCAAGCTATCGCGCTTAACATAAACGAGGCCCTAGAGCTCGGTATAAAATTTTTACAAAAATTAACATCATAAATGAAGTATGAAATTATAATCAAGAGTTACATAAAATAACTTTAAAAAAAATGAAATGTTGTTATTTCTAGATATTTTTTAAAAAATTAGGCTCACTATGTTGTAAAATGGAGGTAGCCCATTCGGACAAATACTTGGGTAAGATTTTTGCCAATATTCCATCGCTCGATATAATTTGGTTTACCGATATTTTTCCCGTGGCTTTAAAAATGTAAATATTGTCATTTATAATAATAAATGAAGTAATATACGAATACTTATGAATGACGTTTTTTTTCCCTTTCAAATTATCTTTTAGGATCGACTGTACCTAAATGGATAAGCTCTCTCTTAAACTAAATAGGTTCCCTTTAAGTTACTGCCATGGGAGGCATATTTTATGTTTAATTCAACAAAAATTAGATCAATTTAAAATTTATTACCTTTTTCATTTCTTTCTTTTTGTATTGACATTAATATAATAATCACAATTAGAACAATCGTTTTTTTTTACATTCACGATTATACTATTATAGTTTGTGCAAAATAAAAATTAGGGAGTAAAAAAAAATACCTTTTATCCGTTAAAGGTTAAAAAAAATAAATATATTATGCCTATTTCTCAAATAAAAAAAATATACTTTAAATATTAAAAATCAAAAAGATTGTTTTGCCTTATAAATATAACTTAGTAATTTTCGGAGTCGAATAAATAAATAAAAATAATCTGAATATAGGAAGGAAAAAGTTGGGTTATGATATAGGCTCTTTTGATTTTTTAAGAAAGAAAGAAGTTGTAAATTTTAACAATTGGATAGATGTATTTACATTTGTGCGCTATACTACTAGCCAGCTCGCTACCCAAAAATCCTCCTCCTAGCACGGTTACCGATTTGAGATTCAATTTATCCAAGGCGTCGGGTTTTAAAGTTTTAAGGAGTTTGCGGAAATCGTTTATCTTGCAATATCATTAAGGATTTTTAAATAAAATATATATTTAAAAAAACATAATAGATTATATTTTTCACGAGGAATGTAAGAGAAACGAATTTTTTTTATTCCTAAATATCATAAACCGATCCTATATTTATATTGATATATTTACCATCTATCTTTGAACCAATGGAATAAAAATACCAACAATTTCTATTTTAAGAAAAACAAACTAACTTTCACTTCTTTCTTTCTGATTAAGTGTATTTATTTTTTTTTACTTCTCCAAAAGTGAATATTCTCATTTAAATATTTGATATGAATTTTAAATTATTTCTAAATATAAAAAAAATTCTGGCAATTTTTGTGTAAAAAGAGTGATGAAAATAAAGCAAAATTGTTATAAATACTAATATTTAATATTTAATAAATATTAGTATACACTTGTCAATTCAAATAATGTATATATTTTTTTAATAAAAATCATGGATAAATAGTCAAAATGTGCATTTTTGCCTATAAAAATAACGCTCAGATTCTTAAAAAATCATTCCAATAAAAAATGCATAAAATTGTTGTAGAAGCATATTTTAGCCATAATATAAGATAGGAAGCTACTGATATTTTTTGTGGGCAACAATTCCAAAATTGGGGTGTTGCTATTTGTGTTGTTAAATCCCAAACTTTGGCCAACTTTGTTCAATCTTTTTTAACAACACTAGTTGCTATGCCCCTGCATATAGCTCGAGGTTTCATGGATTTGCTCAAATCTAATATACGTTATATAAATTTATTAAAAACACCGACTGAAATTTTAAAGATTTTTTTAGACATTATCTAAAATTACATTTCTGAAATACGAAGTAGATTTCCTCGCGTCTGGCGCAACGTCAATCGTTGAGGGCAACTGAGCTGGAGTTCCGCCTATATAAAATTTCGGTCAAATATAAAAATAAGATATACATTTTTTTTTATTTCTTTTAATATTTACATTTTTGCGAAAAAATAACTGTAACTAGTTACATTTGAGTAGACGTAATTGTTATATATGAATTTATATAATAGCCAATGTAAATAAATTAATGTTTAAATGTAGATTCGTTATATAGTTTTATATAATATCTTATGACAATATTATATGTTATACATATCAAACATTGATATGATGCCAATCATGTGATTCGAAGGGCTGCGAGGTTGATCAAGCAGTCCTTTATTGGTTTACAAGATAAAATTCATATATATATATGGGAAATGTGTAAATAATTTTAGTTCTAGAAAAGTAACAAGTTTCTTTTAAAATAAGTTAAATAATATATTATCACTTATTATCTTTATGGTTTCTCAAATTGGAAGTTACTTTTTATTAAATAAAAAGGGCGCATGTAAAACGTTTGTGTTCAGGGTAGATTACATTTAGAATAGGCCTATTCAAGATCAAATCGAAAAGTAACGAATGGTTCGAAAATTCGGCAATTTATTAGAATAATTCGTTCCATTTGAATCAATTTAATCGAATATTCAAATTATTCGAGATAATCATTAATATGAGATTTGCAATGCCCCGCCCGTCCCATCTGAAATTCTTTTTGGGTCTGGCAAAAAAAATAATTTATATCTATATTTGATTAATTCTGATATTTCATAGAAGTGATAATCCCTAACGTAACAGTATCTTAAATTTAAGCACACCAAAATTACAAATAGTTGTTTATATAAGCAGTTCGACAGCATATATTTTGGATTAGATCTTGTATTTAAAAAAAAAATTAAAACCCAGGCCTGAAGACCGTATTAAAAAATTGAAACCGGGCCTAGCATAAACTATATTCCCATCGGGCAGGATCGTACCTGAGAATTGTCATTTGCAGACCTTTGATATGAAGACGTATAATTATAACGAATTCATTCTCCGCATATTATTATATATATCGCGTTTTACACTATTATACTCATTGTCGTATTTGTCTATACTACGTTATTATTTAAGAAAACCAAAATTTTTGGGCTTACTTATTATTTTATTATTATATTAATTAAGCGACGAGTACAAAAGCCATAAAGACCAATGTACTCGGTTGAAATTACTCGCTTTTCACATAAAGATGAGGTGTAAGATTTCACACAAGACTACTTTTGAAATTTATGCTTTTTAAGAATGTAACTAGTAACTACTTAATTAACTTTTAAAAATAACCTTTAACAATACTAATTGATAAACTTAAAACCTGTAGCTATGAGGCACTTTTCGTATTTGATCTTTATCCCATTATCTAGATGAGCTTCGGAGTTTGCTGGGTTTAATTTTGTTACCTTTTTATTTAAAAAAGAGGTGAAATTCATTTCTAATCCTAAAGTGTGATACAAACCTTGTAATTATATTTTATGCAAGTTTTCAAATAAAATGATACTCGTTTAAATTTTAAAAGTATAATTTACGGGTTCATGAGGCAGGTTAAAAAAAGAATTATTACCACTAAAGCGCATTCAAAAAATGTCTTAAAAAAGGAAATTTATTATTTTTTAAACAAAATAATTTTATTTTAATACAAGGTTTAATTTAATCGATAAAATTACTTAAACCTTTCGTTTTTTTTAAAAAAAAACTATATTAATTTTATAACAGTTTCGCCATAAATATTTCTGTATTTTTTCTAATTTATATTTTAAAAAAAATCTACAATATAAAATAAAATTATAAATTTAAGATTAGTTCAAAAAATTAATGGCAAAGAATTTCTCAAAACTACAAGGTCGTTTACTCTCAATGATTGGAGATTTATTACATTAAATGCATTTAACAGTTTCCATATATAAAAGTCAGCTGTAGCGTCGTTTTGTGGTTTGCATTTCGATTAAATGACATTAATGCGCATTCATATAATAATAAATAAGACAATTAGTCGAAAGCAAACCACAAAATGGCGCTATAGCTGATTCCTATGTATCGCCAATCTAGTAGTATACATATCTCAGTTGGTTACTACTCTATATATGTTAAAATTCATATGGTTTATAATGGAAGAGATTCCGATTCCCGACAGATTAGTTTTTAAAACCAACTTACCCTGCATTCCTTGCTAGCACAAAATGGCGGCGAAATTTATAAAATATGCGCTATTTTTGTATTTTTATATACTTCGCCGTGAATTCGCGCTAACTGTGAATGCAGGGTTATCTTCTTTAAGATAATAAAAATAAGTTATATTTAAAATATTTAATTTATATGTTTCTTTTTAATTATAATGTTGGGCAGGTTGTAAATTTTAATATATTGGAGGCCGAGTATTAGAGTGTTCTATCTCTAATTCTTCGGCACTAAATTCTTCCATATCAGCAATAATAAAATGAAATATAAACTTAAAATACCTTTATTCATTATTATTTTTGTAATCTCCTAATTAAAATACCTTTAAATTAAATAAAGATATAGAAGATGGAACACCATAATACTCACCTTTGACCAACATTTTACATGTTATTATTTAATAAAAATACATCAGCTATGGACATATAATATTTATCCAGACTGATAATTTAATAAGAGGAATTTTTAAAGCATCGTCGGGAAATCAAAATGGCATGCTACCAGTTGATTTGCATTTATATGCTTAAATAAATCAATCGTCAATCTAGGTATTTATTAATACAATGTCATTGCTTCAGAAATAGATTTTAAAAAAAAGCTAGCTTTTCCTGGAGCGGACATTGATTCTACTTTGAGTGCCATTTTAAATGTCAAAAGCCAAATTCATAAAACTACTTAACCTACTTGCCCAAATCGAATATATTCTCATTTTAGTGGTCAATTCGACGTCACTAGAGGGATAGATGAATAATATTTCAGATGGCTAGGACATTTAAAAAAAAAATAGTTGGATAAATAGTAGTTTTGTTAAACAGCTCGATTTAGCCAATTTTAAATTAATATCTTAACCAAAATAATATTACCCAAGCTTCAAGATTTCGTTAGTAGATGTCCATCCAAACCTTACTATCATCTATGAGAAAAAAATCTTTAGGCTTGCGCAACATATATTGGCTAAAATAATGTGTTAACCTTTTTAGAAAATCGAGCCGTTTAACAACACTAATCGGCAAATTACTCGGTGAGGGTCCAAAAAATAAGTCTGATACCTATATTTCTTCGTCCAAAAATAAAATCTTAACCCTATAATAACTGATCATTATAATTTGTAATGCGCATGCTTATATTTCCCTAAAAAAAATCGTTGTACGAAAAAAATATATAATAAAACGCTAGTTATTAAAACTTTCGAATTCTTGAGCACGAAGATTCCGCCACGATTTTCTTCTTTTCCCCACTCCTCTAACCCGTAATAAAATGATTCATCTTCAAAGTAGACACTTTGCGACAATTTTTTAAAATAAATAAATAATATAAATAGAGAGATCGTGATTGTTATTTTAGCTTATTTTATAAAAAAAAATAGCGCATTCAGAATTTTACTTAAATTTTTTTTAAAAAATCCACGCATTCTGCAGGATCAACTTATATACTTAATCTGCAAAATCAGCGAAGATTCACCGATACAAGTGGCGTTAGTACCAGTGGTATCAGCCAATACGGTATTAGTATCGGTGGTGGCATTACCTAAAATGCGAAATAGGCTTTGAAAACGTATATATAAATAAATAGATTTTTTTATAAACCTTTTTTGTTTACCGTCCCATGATTTATAGCGTAATTCGTCAACTAATTTATCTTCTATCTCGTACCATAGATCCTTTGATAGTGGCGGTCTTATATAAGGATACTCGTCCTCTTCGCTAACAATCAAAATCTTCGTGCATAGGTATTACAATTAAAGTCGTTAAAAACAAATTTGCTACTCATTTTTTAAATAAGATGACAAGGAATAGAAAATTAGCCTTACATTGATGTAATATTAATATCCATGACCTCTATTATATCTCAGTGCATTTTAACAGTCGTAAAATTATTTTTGGTATAAAACATTCTTTAAAATTAAAATCAAGTGGTTAATAGTTACTTTCAGTTTGATTCTTAATAGTGTGGGTAAAAAAAAATGACATTAAATTACAAGTGGAGTGCCCTCTAGGCCAAATTTAGATAACCTATATCTTAAAATCTAATTTATATTTTTAAATATATAAGATGTATTAAATAAGTCTAATAATAACGATAATTGTTATATTAAAATTTTATTGTTATTTTAAAATTTCATTGTTATTTTAAAATTTTATGGCAGCTTTTGCCAAGAGAGGTAAAAAAAAGTGGCGAATTTAAAATGTCACAATAAAATTGGATGTAGAATGTTTATCTAAGGTTCAAATTTTAATATAATATAATTTTTGATTAATAAAAATCATGAGTGTTTATATATGCTTAATATATCAATGCTAAAACAGATGGAAAAAAAATTAGATAGATGACCAAGTTGGGTCTATGTAGACCCCAAGCTTCATAAAACCATTATAACTAATGAAGTACCAAATAAAATAAAAATTAATTTTGCTCATATATATTTTACCTAAAAATATTAAGCTCTAAAAGATCCAAGCAAAAATCTTGAAATAATTATGTTTTTAAAATAACTGGGGTCCACAGTCTTATTGTGTTATGAAGGATTGAGTAACAAATATATCTATAAAATATAATTCAATGAATAAATAATACAAGCAAATAAAATTGATTTCCTAGGCTCAGACCTATAACCAAGAACCTTTATTGAAGAAGGGGATTCAATATTTGTAGTTGAAAAAAAACTCTTAAGATTAATAATTAGATACAGCTGCAAGCTTCAAACCATAAAATGATTAAATATATTTTTAAAAATCAGACCAAGTCTTAAAATTAAATAGATTTAAATTATAAAACTAGTTTAAAAAGATCATGTGATGGCCCAATTATCATTCATTTGCTCCAAATTTCTCAAGATTTTCCTATAAAATCACTATAGCTAAACATTATTTAAATGTCCAAATTTAAATCCAATCTGGTATCTAAAAATTAGACCTAGCTACAGATTTCTGATATACACCGTGATTTGACTTTTAAAAAAATTGCATTTTAAAATATTTGCAAAATTTATAAAAAAAAATTTTCCATGTGGAACAAATATACTTATGACTAATTTTAAACAGGGACAAGAACCCAACCCTAAACCCTCCCGAACCCTCAATATTATGCTGAACCCAAACCCTTTGGGTTCAGAGTTCAAGCTTCTATTTTTTAATTATAAAAAATTTATATATTAATTTTAAAAAATCATATTTTCATTATTTTTTTGTTTAACCATTTTTGTTATATTTAGTAATTTTTTAAATTGTAATATAGTATTATAATTATGATGATAAATAATTTATGGCGATTTTAATTAAAATAATTTTTTTTTAAAAAATGATGTTTATATTTTAACTAATTTTAATAATTCATTATTTTTCTGGTCTCCGAACCCTGAACCCGAACCAGGTTCAGAGATTTTTCACTGAACCCAAACCCATTTTTTTAAAGGAGGGTTCTCATCCCTGATTTTAAATATTTAAAAATAATTTCAAATATCTTATTTTTAACATCAAGTTTGGAATAATTTAATTGAATGATGAAAAGATTATTATGAATTTTTTAACTTATTTTTAAAAATATGATTATAATTCTGACAAGTTTTTTTTTTAATTACTGCAAAAATATATGAGATATGTTTAATTATTATTTTACTTAATATATGTGCAGAATTATCGAAGTAAAAATCATGACGAGTTAAGATTGTTGGAACTTAATCCCAAAATTCCTTCTCATTGTTAATTAAAAATATCTAATATCATTTCCTTTATTTTTAACTAACAAAGATATTTTGTATTATATTGTAAAGGATGATGTTTTTGTTTCATCAAATAATAGTTTTGTTTTTATAAAGTATTTTTTTATGAAAATTTTTAAATTGAATTAATAAAAAGGTTTTAAATTTGGATACTTTTGATTTTGGAGAGTTAATTCTTATAGTTCTAGCAGCAGAAAACGAAGCTGTTCCACCTCCTATCAATAAATATTGAGCAAATTCTGGTATATTTTTAATATTCATATTATCTTTTTGATGATTAAGTTTTGGATTTTCTTCTTTTAAATCTTAATTATTTTTAATAATTAAAAACATGTAGTTGTATATATTCTTTATTTAGGTGAAATATTTAATAAATTAACTCTAAATTTATAAATGCAAACGATAAAATAAATACAATGGGATTAATTTCATGTTTATAATAAACCAATGTAACACAATAAAATATAAATTTGGCAGTGTAAAACATTAAAAACCTATATTTTCTGATTCTTTAGTGACATGACTGCCAGTAATTTTATCTAAGGTATCTAAAGAATATAATTTTTGAGAGGGATTCATAGCTAAAATTTCTCGTGGAGGCATTTCTTGAAATATTTGACCTTTAATTTTTTTGATAATTTTCTTTCCATTTGAATCAACTTCCTCAACAGTAAGAGTTGGATGATGCATCCAATAAAATACCTATTTGATGAAATTTAAGTTAAATATAATGATCTTAAGGCATACCAATGTATTGTATCCATAAAGTATTCCAAATATTCCAAGAACTATAACAACTCCAGGTATCATCCTCTTAGTAGACATTGAATCGTCTATTTTTTTAAAGATTTTTTCATAGGGCCGACCAGAACAATTCAATTTAGAGCTAACTATATAATGAAATATATTATCTTTTTAAATATTCTTCTTACCATGTAAATTGTGTGATTTATTAACATAAATCCTGAATATAGAAGATGTGCTAAATAATTTCCTTGCGGCATGGCTTATAAATTTGTAATTAAATGCCATCGATACAAGACTATGGATTAACCCGTCATTCGAATTTAGGGTGAAATTAGCATTTGATCTTATGTGACGTGAGATTTGTGACGTGAGATTTGTGACGTGAGGTTTGTCAGTTCTATAAAGAATATTTATAAAATTTTCTAAATTTCTAAATAAAATATTTTTTAAATTTCTTCTTTGAGTCATATTCAAACTCTGACCATCTTTATGATATGTGCATAAATATAATCTATAAAATATTATTAATTATTTATATTTTCTAATATGTGCATAGTTTCTTGTCGCATTACGTACAATATTTTTATATTAAATCATAGGCGTAGCCAAAGTTTTCCTAGAGTGGGGGGGGGGAGTAAAATTACTGGGGGCTTCGCCCCCAGTCCCTATTTTATGTTACCTTACTCTATATATAGTCATAAAATATTTTTACAAGATAGGAGGTTAATTTTAATAAAAAAAATAAGCCTGGAACAAATATGAAATATATTTTTATTTTATATAAAATATAATAAATTACTTGTATATACATTAATATAAAAGCATATAATTTATTCCAAACAAGTATAAGAAATTTATTTATAAAAAGTATGTAGACATATAGTTGATATTCCTCCATTATATAGAATTAGTAAAATACTATGTAAAATTCCACTTTTACAGACATATTTGACAATTAGAGAATATATTACAGTTAATATTTTAACAAATTTTGCTAATCAATGCTCTTGATAGTAAATATAGCATATTTATTTTATATAAAAAATGATATTAAAAATTAATCTTCATATTATTCATCCCACAATGTCTTTAAAAGATATTTTCTGATGTTCTTATCAATATTTTATAGTTTTCTGTAAAATCAATAATTCGCTATATTGGTAAAAATTACTTGATTATGGATAAAATTAGATATACTGTAAATCCACGACATATAATATTCCATTGTTTGTATTGTACTTTAATTTTTTTATTTTATTTATGATTTAATCTTATCATTAGTTTTATAATTATATTTTACTTTTATTAAGATAAATAAATTAAAATTACTCACTTTATAAAAAATTATATTTGATATATTATATTATTTAGAAATTTTAAATATAAATTAAATAAGAAAATTAATTTTGAATATTGTAATATAATTAATATAATGAAAATATTATGAATCATATTGTATTTTACATTTATAATTATTTTCACTAATAGCAACTTCTTGAATAATAATTGTTTTGACTGTTGGTATTTTATTGAGTAAATGTAATTTTTTTAATATTAGCTTTATAAAATATTAATGATTGAATAATTTTTAATAATTTGTAAATAAGTTATATTTAATGTATTACTTTGACATCCATTACTTGCATAGGTTGTAAAATTTTGTAAAATTACAAAAATATTTAAGGTTTTATTTTGGCATCCTACAGTTGCATAGTTAACACAAGTTATAGGCTTGTTTGTATAGATATTGAAAAAAATAATAAAAAATAAATAAATACTTACCGATGACATGACGTAGTGATGAAATGACGTAGCGATTAAATGACGTAGCGATTAAATGACGTAGCGTTGAAATGACGTCACGATGACGTAGTGAGGATCGGAAAATTATAATATAGATATTTCCAGTTTGAAATTAAATTTGCAATGAAAAAATTTGTCAATATATTTGAGTATGATTTATTTTATTACTAAAATTCCCAATTATTCGAATAATCCGAATTACTCGAATAATTCTAATCTAATACAAATAGTAGATTTTATTATTCGTACGTATACGAATAGTAAATTAACGAAACGACTACGAATAATGCACTATTCGATTCGAATTCGTTTTAGAATAAGTCTAATATGTGGTGATACATGTGAAATAAAGGCCAATTATATTATGTATACCTAAAAATTAGACTCTGATAAAACAATAAAATAAGTTATATATGTATATATATACTTAAATGACGTTATAAAATAATATATATCTATTTTAAGTATTTATGAAAGAAATTTTAAAATAATATTAACACATATTAAATATTTATTAGGGCCTAAAAGGTTTGACAAGCTTCATGCATAGAGCTGCGTTTTAATATTAGACATATTTAAATTTTTGTAAATATCACGATTAAAGATAAAATGAGATTTAATCTATTTTACTTCTACACTTATTTAATAAACACGAGAAATACTAATAATGTATAATATTGATCATAGATTCAAGAGATTCAAAAATATTTGGAATATATAATAAAAAAATCTTAACTTAATTAGACATAATTAATTTTTTGAAGAACAATTTGAATTCCGTTATTTAGTCTAAGGCTTGTTCTATTTTAATTTCGCTTAGAAGTCGGAGTGGAAGGGGCACTATTAAATAGAAGTTTCCTCCATAAATTTTGTTGGAGGTCTTTAGCTTCACTTATTGTAAGTCTTTGACTATGTTGTTATATTTTTATAAAAATAATTTGAGCTATTCATCTTTTTTTATATAAAAATGCTTATTCAAATTTTGAATTATAGTAATTATTTAAAAAATTATTAACTTTTTCTTATTTTTATTTCAAATTATTGTTTATCTATTATAATAATCCTCAAAAAACATCAATCAAATTTAGCCAATCGTGTTCTTTTAAAATAAATTTGTCCAATAAAAATGATTATAGCGAAATCGGTCCAATAGGAATTACCTTATACACTACCATTTCATTCACTTCACATAGCAAAGCAATGGTATCCAGATGGCAAGTAAATTTTTAATATTAATAAATAATTTTTAATTATTTTAGAGTTAGAAAATCAAACATTTTTTATTCCTCCTCCTAAATCTATGCATAAAAATATCAGTTCAGAAGAACAACAATGTGCATTGAATGCACTGAATAAATGCTTAATATTATGCATATTTCCATGTAATTTTTTCTTTATATCCAAAAAATTTATTGAATATAATAAACAGTTGGAAAACTAATGATAACTTTTATTTTGAAAGATAATTTTTCCAAAAAATATATATAAATTATTATATTTATAGGAATATTTTTATTAATAACTCTAAGGTTGATCTAGCTATTATTCAATAATAAATAACAAAAGTAACATAATGTACAGCATTAGACATAGGGATAGCAATTTCATTAAGGTATGATGCAGTTAATTTTATAAAAATTTTGAAAATTACTATGGGTTGGTCAGGCTTGAGAAATTTTTTTATAAAATTATTATGAATTGGAAAGGGCTTCAAAAATATTTTTATAAATTATATTGGGCTGGGCTTGGGGAAAATTATTATGAGCTTGTACGTTTAATAATTTTTTTAATCAACTATGGGTCAGACATTAGCCTAAAACAAGTTATTTTGCAGGCTTGGGCTCGGCCTGATCAAAAAACCAAGGCCCATGAAAATCTGATTTTTATTGTATTTTTAAATTCTTTATGATTATTTAAATGTTTTATTTCAGTTCTCAACTACCAAAATTATTATGATCTTTTATTGGGCTTGGATGAATTTTTCAAAATTATTATTGCTTTGTACTTTACCTGGGAATTTTTTTTAATATTAAATATTAGGTATAAATGATCAGTAAATTTAACATATTGGTATTATCAAGTAAAAGCTTTAAATTTATTCTTACTCAAACCATAGTATTTAGTTTTAGTTTTATTGGATTGAACCTGGCCTGAAGGGGGAGGTAAAAAGAATAAAATTGGATATTATTTTCAAATAACAGGTAATATCTAGCATAAATATAAGAAGAAAATTCTCATTCCCCGTCATTTTTGACGGGCTATCCACTAGTAGTAATATAATATTGTATATCATTTTGGGATGAGAGGGGTGGAGGATATGGGAGGAGGGGGAAGTTTTTATTAGCTTAAAATAATATTTACGACATCAGGCGAATTTCCGAAAAGGAGAATTTCCCAGCCCCACCCCCTTCTGGCTAAGCCTATAAGTTAGTAAGTATTTATTATCATTTTTTCCTTCTAATTAGTAATTTTTTCTTGTAAATAATGCCTATTGCTTTATAATATCTACGCAATTGAAATACTAAAATATAAAAAATACGCACTTAATATTGGCATAAAATTTAGAGTTTATGCTTCCAACTTCCATATTCTCTGTTTTGGCATGATGCTAATTTTATTAATTTTTTTCATATCCAAAATTGCTCACTTCATGCTTAAAGCATGACGCCATATTTTTCATTTGTTTATAGCTCAGTTTCTTTTTTGTGGCTCTCAAAATTGATTACGGTACTAATATACTTTTTAAATGGATCTAGATACATGTACAGATACATGATTTAAAAAGATATCTAGATCCAAACATAGATACATCGTCTAATAAGTTATCTTGATAAAGATACCATTTTAAAAATGTATCCAGATACAGATACAATTTTTAATAGTCTTATATATGGTTTGCATAAATCTAAATTAGGATACTATTGTGAGAATGTATGAAATGAGCTGAAAACTTTATTGACTAGATATCACATTTATCAAAATATATCTAAAATAATGATAATTCGATTTTAATATAATATATGAAATTAAATGATTAAATGATTATAAAAAATTATTAGATTTCAGTAATAATATTTCCGATTGGTCATTAAGGCTTCCTCGTTTATCTGGACATTTTAAGCTATTTTAAAAAGTCTCTCTATCAGAGTGAAGCGATTGGGGTGTTATATTTTATGAGTAACAATTTTATATCAGGATATTCTTTAAAAATGTTAAAATCTCAACATTCATTTTCTAAAATTTTTTTTAATTTGTTGAGTATACAAATTAAATCAATATTAACAATCATATCTCTACTGTGAGGTACTGAAAAAAATCGGATATTAAATTATTTGTTTTTTTTTCATAAGTCATATGTTTGCAATCAGTTGAAGAAAATGATATTTCATTAATTTATCTTTGTATTAATTGTTTTTTTATTAATAACAGTGTTTTATTTTTTCTCTTAAAATTTTAAATTACAGTTGTAAACATTTATTTAGTAGCTATACCCTTAAATATTTTATAATGTTGCA